TACCAACCCAGCGTTTTCCTTCATCACCACGAAGGAAAACAGTCTGTGGTCGTCCGAGTTTGGTGATTTTTGTGTCACAGGTCTACATGTTTAATACAGGGACTTCCACAGCCTTTTCAACAGCGCTGCGGACCGGGGTGGGGGCGAGCAGTGTTTTGGAAATGACAGTCTTCATTACAAAGCTTTCTTCGTTATGAATTAGCATACATGTTTTTATTGAACATTTGAAGAACCAGCAAAAAAACCAAACTCTTGTAGAGGACATAAAGTCAGAGATAGAAAAGACAAGGAGCAGGTGCATCTAGTACAGGTAGAGCTGCTGCAAAAACCTACAGAGCCCAGCAGCCAGCGTAACAAATTCTGGATCCTTTGCTTTTAGTTAGCAGTTAGCATTAGCAGCACATCCTGCGTCCGATGTGAAAGGACTTTTATGCTGGGCACTGTGACTCACAGCAATGGTCCTGGGTCAGCCCTGACTTTGTGTTAAACTAATCCTAAAGTAATAATGGTATTTCTAACCACTGATATACCACAACTTTTTCCTTTCAACAGCTACTGAAAGTTAGGGGACCTAGCTGCTATCGGATATTTATATAGCGATCCTCCAGCTTCAAACTGTATCACCCTTCAAGGACCTGCAGTTCAAAAAAGCGCCCCTCCGACAGCCAAACCCATCTGTTCTCTGATTGGATTGTTACATTTGTGATTGACATGACATTGACCAATCAGATGAAAGGAAGAAAAATAGGGTCAAAATCCGTACTTGTAACTTGCAGGGGTTTTTTTTTCTAAGTCCACACACAAATCTTTTTTACGCACACACAAATCTTTTTTACACATACAAATCTTTCTTTTTTACGCACACACAAATCTTTTTTACAAGTACAAATCTTTTTTACAAGTACAAAATATTTATGACCACATTTTGAGCCCATAGGGGTGAGTGAGTGATTCGCTTACGCTTACGTTTCAGCACAGGGGGGAGGGGGTGAGTAGCATAATGGGCTTGGATTTACAACATTATAAATGAAATGTGCTCTATTTGGAAGCAGCAGATCTCCCTCCCCTTTCGACAGGTTGTGTGTGAGACTTTAAATCATCAAACTGTAAATTTTAAATTGTTATTGATCCCTTTACCCCGAGTCCTAAAGTGTATATTTATTTTCTTACTCTTCTTATATATATTGTTTGTTTACTTGCACTGCTGTAACTGGAGCCTCGTCGTCTCGTCTCTCTATATACTGGACTGTATGTAGCGGAGATGACAATAAAGTTTACTTTGACTTCAGCACCAAGCAGGCGCACTGAGGGCTCTCGCGCTCACTTTTCGTGTACAGAATTTCGAAAATACATCGGTGCAAATTATTAGTCTGTATCATAATGTCTGGTGTTTTCGTGTTTGTTGGTTTGTTTTTATTTTGTTTTATTTTGCGAGTTAATTATTATTAGATACTGCTCCAGCCAGCCAGAGAATCCCCCGCCGCCCCGCCCTCTCCTCCCAGCAGGCACACCTCGCAAAAGGGAGGGTGCCCTTACTCCCAGCAAATGGGCGATAGAAAACCGATGCCTATGCCATTCCCTGGCTGACGTCGGGGCAGCATGCGTACGAGCATTTTTTTTTTTTTTTGCCGATGCCCGTGATGCCGCCCCCCACCACGATGCCGCCCCGGGCAACCGCCCGTTTCGCCCGTATCTAAAACCGCTACTGCACTGAATTGTTGTAATCTGTAGACGTCCGGTTTGCCAATATATATACACAAGCCGGAAATTCATTTATGGTCTTAGGGTGCCATCTAGTGGCCATGAGGTTATGGCAGATTGTATAACATTACGCTGGAAACCCACAGTCAGGTTAACATATAGCCCGACGGGCGGGGCTGAGATAGATTTTGGTCGTCCGACGGAGAAATCGCTAGCTCCGGGACGTCAGGCTAGCGATTTTGCGAGCCCTGCCATGTGCTCAGCACGCAGAGGGAGAGTGGGAGTCTAAAGGAGCAGCAGCAAAGCATAGCAGTTGTAACACCGTTTTGTGTGATTAATTGTGTGTTAATGAACCTGTAAGTGTTATTCCCTTGAACAGAATCATTGGTATGATAATGGCTATAGTTGTTTGTGCATGTTAAAGTTATGCCTCAGCATATTAATACCATGTTTGTAGGATTATTTAATTATTTAGTACTCAGTTAATAGCAGTGGCCAGAATCTCCCATGATGATTACATCCAGCATTTAAAGGACTTTTCTATTGTTTATTGTTTAGTTTAGCTGTTGCTAGCTTGCCATTTTCTTGCCTCACTGCTAGTCACTTATAAGGCATGTGCCATTTAGCCAATTTATGGTCTGCAGTGACCTCTTGTGGACATTATATAACATTACTGTGTCGAGTAGATGATGTGATTGTTTTCTTAGTTATCTTCGACTCTATTAATTATAGAATTGCCTTCATCTCCGTGTCTTAATTGAATTGGACTGCACAGAGTTGCAGTCCAAAGAAGAGAGATCATCCAGACCAGGCTAATCCAAAACATGTCGGCCAAATGTATGATCAATTAAATTTTCATTAAAAAATAAATAAAAAACAAAACAGCAAAACATCTCAGTCACAAACAATTTGATATTTAAAGTCCATCAGGCATTTTCAGAAGAATCAGAGGCTACAGATTTAATTAATCCTCTCAAAGTGGTGTCTGTCCTGTATACTTTAATTAAGGTCTTCCTAAAACACCTAATTTTAAGTACATAAAAAAGGAATAGCAAGAACAAAAACAAGAACAAAAAACAAAACATGGAAAAGCAAAGACATGACAGAGAACACTTTGTGAGAAATGAGAATCTGAGTCATAACAAAATTTGTCTAACATCTCTGCAGCAAATCAAGTTCCTGTTCTTCTGGAGTCCTAGTTCGTCTTTTACTGTAATCACATGACATTTTTGTAACATGGTACTGTGGTAAGTAATTACAATAATTACATTACAGCTATAACTATGTCATTACTTGTGTTAATAAAATTTCTTCAGTTACCTGCACGCCAGGCAGACATAAAGAAAAAAAATCAAACAAATATATTTTTTTCCTGTGCACTTGCTCTATAGGGAACCAATTTCAGTTAATGTGCTGTGAAGAGGATGACGCTGGTACAGTGATACAGCTTTTCAGCAAAGGACATTTGGGCATTAATTGATTTTTATTGAACTAAAAGAAAGGAATGCAACATTAACATCTGTGAGAGTTATTAGCACAATGCTACTGCAGGAAACCTATTCAGTTTGCCAGTTGTCTTACTTGTGTATTAATTGTATAATAATCAAGTTTTATATCAATGCAGCCTGGACTGTCAGAGTAGGTATACTGCATGTTATTTAAAGCATACAAATTATAAATAGTTATAACAATGTAATGACAAAAGAACAAATAATAAACAGTTGTTACAGAAACTAATTCAAATCAAAATGATGAATACAATTCATTCACACAATTCAGAGAAATTTTTTGTCCTGGCAATCGGGATAAAGATTTAACATTCTCTGGATGCATTCAATTTGTTTCAAATGTTCAGTTTATTCAACCTTTAAAAAAAACACCAGGTGGTTAATGTTCCTGTCAGCATTAAGACAGCCATTTGAGACAGCCGTACAGGCTATACAGTATTAAATAATAATACTACTAATAATAATAATTAATGGTGGTAAATAGTTTTCTAACAACATGGAAACCTACCCGTGTAATGCTTTAGCACAGTGGTTGTCAAACTTTTTCTGACATGCCCCACTGTACAAAGGAAAAATTAAATGAATGAAATTCAATAATTAAAAAAAGTTTAGTGTCCACATCAAGGAGTTTGTAATTAGTTAAGTAATTAATTACTCATTAACAAATCAAAAAGGTACAAGATGAATTTTAGTTCAAAGTCAGCATTAACCTCCTAAGACCCGAACTCTTCCACGTCATGCAGTTTTAATTTCTCTTTGATATTTGGGCTGATTGGGACCCGATGAATGTAAAAACAAAGAATTACCAGATATTTTTTTTAACCTGATTTTTATTTCTAAGAAAAATGAAAGCCACATATGAAGATATTTGTTTAAAATTTTGATAGAACAGTGGCAGTATAATGTCCTCATAAGTGGATATCAGGCCCTTGTAGAGCAAAAATGAGTATTTTGGTCTAAATAACCCAAAATGTGATGTCCACATATGTGGACGCCAGGTCCTAGGAGGTTAAAAGCCGACTTTCCAGAGAAATTAACTAGGCTTTACAAAAAAAAATATATATATTTTTTTTTTTTTCCATGATGCTTCACGAGTGGGGCCATGTTCCACAGCTTGAGAACCACTGTTATCATGTACGGTGCATGGATATACTTTAAAAATGAAAACATTTTTAATGATCTTACTTTCTGAAAAGGTTTAAAACCATAAAGTGTCATGTCTTCATTTTTAGGTTTAAAGGAAAGAAAAAAAATCTGATGAATAATATATATGTATGTAGAGTTAAAATACACATGTAAGCGTTGCTAATGCTAACAAGGATGAAAAATTTATGTAACTAAATTTACAATATTCAGCAGTATGCAGGAAAAAGGCAAAGAATATCTTTACATCCATTACTAAATCTAAAAACAGATTTAGCAACAAGATCCAGACAAGATGAGTCAGCAGTTTCTATCCTAAAATATAAATAGTATAAAACAACACGCTGCTGTGGCCCCCTTCAAGCTTGTTTGTAAACAGCAGTTAAATATGCGAATTAACCTTTTACAAAAGTGAAGCAGCTTAATACAAAAACTTTAGGCAGTACCAGAATACACTTCTAAAAAGTATAAAAAGAGGTATTGTTTTGTAGCAATTATTAATAGCTGCAGTTTGCTTGACTATTTAAAACTGTAAAAAGTTTTATACTGAAACATTCACATAAGTACCATCATGACCAGTGAGACAATGGCAACTGTGAATCAACAACACTAGAACATTAAAAACAAAACAACTCCCCCCCCCCCCCCCCCCCCCCTCCCCCGAATTCAATGATAATAATTTAGAATAAGCACTTAACACTTGAAAACATGGAATATGATTAAAATTTTACTTTCAACTTGACATCACGCTAACATCCTCACACAATACGCCCACCTTCTGATCTATCACATAATATTTCAGTCTATGACAAATCTGGTGGGAAAAAATCTAATCATAATACAATGAATGTTTGTTAATTAGCAATAAATTTCATAAATCCATGTATGAAGTGTGACTTTATAGACTGGTCACTGCTCTCTACCTACAGCAGCTGGAGTTATGAATCGTTAACAAAGCTTGTTTTGCCTGAGCGGACATTTTAGAAAACCTTTCTCATTATGTATGATACTCAACAAAGTACACTGCTCAAAAAGGAACACTTGATTATCACCGTATATCACAAACCAGTTTTAGCACCTGATCCACGTAACACTGGACCACTATGGCCCGTCCAGCAGGTGATGGGTTCACTGGAGTAACTGGGGTCAGCCAGGACCCATGAATAATGGGTGTTTCCAAAAATAGCTCCTTGACCATGTTTGGCCTTATGAAGGGGCACTGGTAACCAAGATTTTGTCAAGTAACTTCTCATCATCGAACTCTTTTGAATCACACTTGGTCTGGCCCTTTACCCATGAACAAATTGTCTTGGGAGACCCTACCAGGGACAAACTGTCCCCGACAACACAGCTCCTGGGATCAGAAAGGCACGCAAACCCCTTCACCGCGATAAGGTGGTGATTCATGAAGGGGGATGTAGGGAATACTTCTTTCCTACACCTTGACAAATCTTTGCTTTTACTTCTGTATCAATTGGTTACTCTTGCTGATCAGTCGCTGTTTTTTATTATTCCTCACACTGCACATTATGACAAAGAGCGAAAATAGGAAGATAACATCGAACTAATAACTTATTACGTGTGTGAATACTATAAAATCATAAATAGCTTGTTTAATTTTCTCAAACTTTTCTTTCCTGCTGAAGCAGACTTTTAAACTGCAGTGTGTTGAGTACCACCACAGAATTTCCAGCATTTTAGTGTGTATGCTTTGGTGTTCTGTTCTAGTTTCACATTAAACATTGACCAGCATGTAATCTAAGTTAATACAGTCATTAAGATTAATGATTAATGAGAGAAATGTGACCTTTGTAACTATACTCTCCTGTAAAATGCTATAACGTACTGCTTTTTACAGTTAAATTAAAAAATTTCAAGGGTGAAGACCTTTGATTTTCTTCAAATTAATTAAAAAAACAAAACGAAACAACCAATAATTCAACACAGTAACAAAACCTCACTATGATTTTTTTAAAATACTTTTTTTTTCTTTCAAATTTCTTTGTATGTTGCTTTATGTTAGATTTCCAAGCAAAACATCTGCCGTGCACTAACAAGGGTGGGGCTCTATTTTTCAAGTGTTATGTACTATATGGTAATCAGACGGTGTGCTTCACTTGACTGTTTGTGCCGTCTGAACCTATTATCTGTGTGAGGCTCTGTGGTGTACTGATAACACTGATAACACTGTTTTAAACAGAAGCCCTGTGGGTTGAAATCCTTAGCTTAACGGCTTGTGTTATCAGGAGATATAAATGTCACAGAAAAACTGCCATTCATATTAGCCAGAGCTGGTATGTCAAGGTAGAACCTAAATGCCATGGCAGTACAAGAAAAAGCAATAAAGAAACTTCATTAAAAACTAAGACATGATAAACAAAAGTGGGGCAGAGAGATAAACGGACACCAAGTACCTCCACCTGTTCTTCATCTGTTCATTTAGTAGCTGACTCTAGAATGACATGTTGGTCGAGCATTCAGCCCAGATATTGCTCATCCTTTGCTTCCACAGCTGTCACAGAGATTACTGAAGTAAACAATATAAGAGAATTTGTTTAAAACGGCATGTAATTTCATCTGAACATGCAAAGACTTTCAGTGTATCTGCATATTTTAAAAAAAAAACTCCTACAATACTCAATGCACACATTAATAATTAAAAAGATTTACTTTTGAAGAAGGGCAGATTTAATAAAATTACTTGTACAAAACTAAAACTACAAATATATCTGCAATAACTGCATAACATAATTTTACATTCAAGTAAATAGCGCCAAAATATTTGGAAAGAGAAATTTAATTTTGACTGGAACAAAAATGAAATGAAAACAACAATGGCACATTTCAATGAATGAACTGTTACTGACCTCCATCTGATGTTGTTCTTGTTGCGCTGCACTGTTACCAGCTGGTTCATTTGTTGGGACACGCTGCCAAAAAAGTGTAAACCTACGCCTGGAATTTTTGGGACAATAATTCAAAATGTTCAGTTTCCCCTCCAACACCACCACAATAGATTTGAAATAAAACAAACAAGTGCATGAATAACCCGACGTTAAAAGACAGATACCCAAATATGCAAAACAAAGACAAATGGCAAACGAGGAGCTTGTCCGAAGAAGTGCATCATGTATTGTCTGGAAACACTTTTGATTTTAGAGCGATGCAGTAATTTAGGTGCATCACCTGAGACAGTACAATACAACTTTTTTTAATAAAAAAAAAAAACATCACTCAATACTCATTAAATAATCATATTCTCCATATTGATTGAAATCATTGAGATTAACATTTTATGAGACTAAATTCACTGTGTTTTAAAGAGGATATGTACTTCTCAGATTATCCTTTTTTATGTTTCCATCCTTTTCCTTTCTACTATTTTGGTACCAGATTTACTTAGTTTCATCTGTGGAAAAAACATTGTTCACAAACTAGTCTTCCGTTTCCCTCTCGCTAAATGAAATCTAGCCTAAAATGTCTATTGTAACACGCTAACTAGTACACTTTTTTTGCCCCACAGAAAGTATCAAAATTGCCAATTAGGCCATTCCTATATAAATAAAGACATATACTCTACTATACTTCAGTTTGGACAGTAGGTCCACATGCTTTAAAGCCAGGTCTACTAAATATTATTCTACATATTGGATACATGCAAGTTAATGTATGAAGTACCTTTGATCTTCATGTGTATAAAAGTACCATACTGCAGCCCCAACGATGCTCAGGAAAAAAACACATATAAAAACACCAAGTAAGGCCCATGCAGCAGAGCACGATCCTGCAGGGACACAAGAATGAAGAATATAATGAGAATTACATTATCTGGCATTTATGTTTTATGTTTCATATATTGAGATGACTCAGACAATACTTAAACATATACCATACACAAATCAAACATGTAGCTCGTGTAGGTTGAGGGCAGGTTAACAATGATCACTTCTGGTACTGTTGGTCAAAAATGTTCTAGCAAAAACTTTTCTAGTCTTGGGTGAAGATAAAGGAAGAGAAGATGGGAAAGGTGTGAGAAAGCTGTCTGATACAGTTCGGGAAAAGAAATGAACTGTCTCTAATTTTTATGGTAGTTTCATTTTAATGGTAAGAGACAAAATATCAACCTGAAGTCCAGAACAAATAGCCAGAATTCTGGTTTCAACGGCCTAAACTGAAGAAACCACAGAATTGGTTCCTTCTTTTCCAACTCTGCACCATGGGAAAGACCAAAGAGCTATCAAAGGACATCATGGACAAGAATGTAGATCTGCTGTAATGGATTACAAGACTATCGGCAAGTAGTTTAGTGAGAAGGTGACAACTGCTGGTGTGAATATTTGGAAAAGGAAGAACTATAAAATGACCATCAATTGCCCTCAGCCTGGAGCATGACAGTAAGTAAGATGAGAGATGAGCAGCAGTATGGCTTCATGCCAAAGAGCACTACAGATGTTTTCTTTCAGAGTGTTGATGGAGAAGTACAGAAAAGGCCAGCAGGAGTTTCATTGGGTCTTTATGGATCTAAAGAAAGGATATGTTAGGGACCCAAGAAAGAAACTTATACTGCATGAGGAAGTCAGGAGTGGCAGAGAAGCATGTGAAGGTGTTGCAGAACATGTATGAGGACAGTGAGACAGTGAGATATGCGACAGAGATGACAGATGGGTTTAGGGTGGTTGTGGGAATACATCAGGGATCAGCTCTGAGCCCCTTTTTGTTTCCAATGGTAATGGATATTCTGACAGATGAGGTCAGACAGGAGTCTTTTTGGACTGTGATCATTGCAGACAACAGTGTGATCTGTACTAAGTGACGCAGGGGAGGAGTTGGAAGTCAACTCGAAGAGATGGAGGTACGGACTGAAGAGAAGATATGAAAGCCAGTAGAAGCAAGAAAGAATATGTGATGTGTGTAAATGAGAAGAAGACAGATGTAACACTGAAGCTGTAAAAACTAGCATCAAAAGCAACAGACAATGCACAAAAGAAGTGAAGAAGAGAGTGCAGGCTGTGTGGAGTGGGTGGATAAACATATTGGGGTGATTTGTGACAGAAGGACAGCAGCAAGGGTGAAAGGTAAGGTTTACGAGATGATACCGCTATGATACTGCTATATGGTTTCCAAATAGTGGCACTGAAAAAAAAAATACAGGATGTTGAGCTGAAGATGCTCAGATTTGATGAGAGCATGAGGGTGGGAATGGATGTTTGTGTCTGTGTGTGCCTGTATGTCTGTGTCTATATGTCAGGTTGGGTATCAGACGCCACCTCTCTGGGGACATCTCAGGCCCTCCAAGGTTTGGAGGCCTATCTCCACCCACCACCACTTCCCCTGCCGGTGGCGGACTCCCTCAGGTGTCGGTGTGTTGGTGGTTCTTTGTGTCTGGGGGTGGGCGTCCGGGTACACACCGGCTCACTCCTTGGCGGCCGCTTGTCGGGGCCTGGGGCCTGGGGCTCGCTCGGGCCCCTTTGGAGGTGGGGTGCCCCCGGCCTCTCGGCCTGGGGCTCGGTCACTCAGGCACAGCTGGGGGCCGGCGGAGCTCACGGGCGCGTCACTGCAACTCCCCCTGACTTCTGCTCCGCGGCTGCTGAGTGAGCCCTCATCTGGGACTCTCCTCAGCTCTTACTGGAACAGTGGCGCGGCTGCCCCTCTGTTGGTCTTCCTTGGTCTCTTGTGTTCTGGGGGCCTCTGGATGTCTGGAGTTTTGATCTCCTCCATACCCACTTCACACCCTGGAGGACGGGGCTGTGGCCCCCCCACACTCCCTAGCAGATCATTACATGGAGAAACCTTTGGAATGCAAGCATGCTGATCCACACAGGTATGCACACATGGGTATTCACAGACGCGGACTAAAGCTTTCTTGGCTTTAAGACATGCATGCGCTCAAAGCACACTGTGCGCTGTCTATCTTGCGTGCTGCACAATATCGTTTATTATTTAGTAAATATTGATATCTATGACTAGCTAGTTTATTGTGATGGTGCTTTGTTTCTCTATTATTATGTTGCTCTTTGTTGTTTGCTGTCTCCTCTGTTTGTTTTTTTTGTTTGTTTGTTTTTTTTTCTCCATACAGGTGACCCAGGAGTTCTTTTTTTTTTTTTCTCTCTCTCTTCCCCCCCTTCTCACCGTCTCTTCTCCCTTTGGTTTTCTTTCTTTCTCTCCCCCTCTTTCTCTCATTCATTCCCCCTGTCCTATTTATTAAAAAAAAAAAAATGACAAAGGATGAACTGAAGCTCTGCCATCACGTAATGTCGCATACTGCTGTTTCTGATGTCATTAAAAAAAAAAAAAAAAAAAAAAAGAAGATGCTCAGATTTTCATCAGGAGTGAACAGGATAGACAGGACTAGAAATTAGTAAATCAGAGGGAAAGCTAAGGTTGAAGACAAAATTAGAGAGACTAAGATGTTTGGGTGTGTGCAGAGGAGGGAGAGTGAATATTTTAGATGTTGAATATTTAGCTCCCAGGCAGAAGAAAAAGAGAAACACTGACGTTTCATGAATGTAATAAAAGAGGACATGGAGGTTAGCATGAAAGATGAGAATGCATAAGGCAAATTTGAAACACTAATGATCCCTAAATCATTAGTGCCTTTAAAAGATGGCGCCGGTGAGGTCGGCTGCCGTCACAACTGCTCCGACCACTTTTTCTTTGTCTTTGTTTTTTAAGTTAGTTTTCAGCGTTTCTAAATCGGCAAAATCATCACCATTGGGTACATTAGGTATGACAGTGACACTCTTGTTTCTATTGGTATACAATGTACTCACAATTCGAAGTTTTTAACTCCGGATCCGAGCTGGCCGAGTGAGATCTCGAGGGAGAACAAAGGGAAGCTGCGGCGGCCTAGAGGGAAGCGAGCCGGCGTCAGGAACAGGCTGAGAGCTCGTGCACACCGCACACCTCTGCCTAGCATCCTGCTCGCCAACGTCCAGTCACTGGAGAACAAGCTTGACGACCTCAGGGCCAGGATAAAGTTCCAGAGAGACATTCGGGACTGCAATCTCCTCTGCTTCACCGAGACATGGCTGAACCCAGCGGTGCCGGACCACGCCATCCAGCCGGCCGAGTTCTTCTCGGTTCACCGCATGGACAGGACACGGGACTCGGGGAAGTCAAGGGGAGGCGGCGTGTGTTTAATGGTGAACAACAACTGGTGCAACAGTGTGAACGTTGTTCCTCTCACACGCTCCTGCACACCAAATCTGGAACTACTGTCCATCATGTGTCGTCCTTTTTATCTACCTCGGGAATTTACATCGGCCATTGTAAGTGCCGTTTATATTCCACCACAAGCGGACACGGTCACCGCCTTATGCGAGCTGCATGAGGCACTCACACAGCACCAGACACAACACCGGGACGCTGCGCTTATTGTGACGGGGGACTTTAATAGCGCCAACCTCAAACGCGCAGCGCCGAACTTTTATCAACACATCACCTGCCCCACCAGGGGTGAAAGGACACTGGACCACTGCTACACTACGGTCAAGGACGGCTACAAGGCACAATCCCGCCCTCCGTTTGGCAAATCTGATCACGCCGCCATCTTCCTCATGCCAAAATACAAACAAAGGCTGAAACAGGAAGTTCCGGTTCAGAGGAAGGTCGCGCGCTGGACGGATCAATCGGTGGCCGCGTTACAGGACGCACTCGATGACGCAGACTGGGGCATGTTCAGAAACAGCTCCGACGATGACGTCAACGTGTTTACGGAAGCGGTTGTGGGATTCATCGGGAAACTAGCGGATGATACCGTGGAGACAAAGACTATCACAACGTTTCCCAACCAGAAGCCGTGGGTGGATAAAACCATCCGCGACGCTCTGAGATCCCGCACCGCTGCCTACAACACGGGACTCACGACGGGGGACATAGACCCGTACAAAGCCGCGTCATATAACTTGCGGAGGGCGGTGAAAGAGGCGAAGCAGCGCTACGGGAGGAAACTAGAGTCACAACTCCAACAGAGTGACTCTAGGAGCCTGTGGCGGGGACTAAGGACAATAACGGACTATAAAGCACCAACAACCGGTATGACGAACGCGGCCGTGACTCTGGCAGACGAGCTGAACACTTTCTATGCTCGCTTCGAGGCTGCAGCTAAGGTCTCCAACAATGCTAGTGTTAACGGCGGTAACGGCTGCAGACAGGAAGATACTGCCAGCACCGGAAACGTGCTCGTCATCTCCGAGCATGAAGTAAGGAGAGCCTTCAAAAGAGTGAACACCAGGAAAGCAGCAGGACCAGACGGCATCCCAGGTCGTATCCTAAGAGACTGCGCATACCAGCTAGCTCCTGTGTTCACTGAGATATTCAACATCTCTTTATCTCAGTCGGTGATCCCCACATGCTTCAAAGAGTCCATCATTGTTCCTGTCCCGAAGAAACCCCACCCTGCTTCTCTCAATGACTATTGCCCTGTAGCCCTCACCTCAGTAGTGATGAAGTGCTTTGAACGCCTGGTCAGAGACTTCATCATTTCTTCACTACCAGACACACTGGACCCACTACAGTTCGCTTACCGTCCAAATCGTTCCACAGACGATGCCATCTCTCATCTCCTCCACACATCACTCACTCACTTGGACACTAGAAGGGGGAATTATGTTAAAATGCTCTTCATAGACTACAGCTCTGCATTTAACACCATAATTCCCTCCACACTCACCACCAAGCTGGAGCATCTGGGACTCAGCTCATCTATGTGTCAGTGGATCTCCAACTTCCTAACTGGCAGACCACAGGCAGTAAGGATGGGCGGACATGTCTCAGCCTCCACCACTCTCAGCACTGGAGCCCCCCAGGGGTGTGTTCTGAGCCCCTGCTGTACTCTTTGTACACATATGACTGTGTGGCCACTACCAGCTCCACCACCATCATCAAGTTTGCTGACGACACCGTCGTGGTGGGCCTGATCTCTGATAACAACGAGACGGCCTACCTGAAGGAGATTAAGAATCTGGAGAACTGGTGCCAGAGGAACAACCTCCTTCTAAACGTCAGTAAGACAAAGGAGCTGATAGTGGACTTCAGCACTAAGCAGGAGAGGAACTACCAGACCCCCGTCATCAACGAGTGCCCAGTGGAGAGAGTGGACAGCTTCAAATACCTTGGAGTTCACATCACGCAGGACCTGTCATGGTCCTGTCACATCAACACCGTGGTGAAAAAGGCCCGACAGCGTCTCTACCACCTCAGACGCTTGAGAGACTTCCAACTGCCCTCCAAGGTGCTCAGGAACTTTTACTCGTGCACCATAGAGAGCATCCTGGCGGGAAACATCTTAACCTGGTTCGGGAACAGCACCATGCAGGACAGACGAGCTCTACAGAGGGTTGTGCGGTCAGCTGAGCGCACCATCCGCTCCGAGCTCCCTGACCTGCACTCAATCTACAGCAGGCGGTGCTGGACCAAGGCCAGGAAGATCGTGAAGGACCTCAGCCATCCCAACAACAGACTGTTCTCTCTGCTGAGGTCAGGAAAGCGATTCCGCTCCCTGAAGACCAACACAGAGAGACTGAGGAGGAGCTTCTTCCCGCAGGCGATACGGTCTCTCAATCACACCACCACACAGTACTGACCCACACATGTGGTTCTTACACACACACTGGACTTTCTGGACATTGTTTTTGCACAACACTGGTCACTATATTCTTCATTTCCGGTTAATACTTGTACAGCTGCTGTTATTGTGTATATATTTATTTATATTTAGATTTCTTCATACATTATTATATAGTTCTATATTGTGTATTGTGTATTTTGTTGTACAGTTATTTTATTTTCAACTTTAATTTATATATTTTTATCTTATTCTTTCCCAGTTAAATTTACCCTTCATTCTAATTTGTGTTGTACAGTTATTTCATTTTTAACCTTAATTTATATTTTATTCCTTCCTAGTTAAATTTACCCTTTTTAATTTTTCATATTTATTTCCAATCTTATTCATAGCCTTTTCCTTTTTTGTTTTCTTTAGGTCACGAGCAGTTGTCCAAGCATTTCACTACATATCGTACTGTGTATGACTGTGTACGTGACAAATAAAATTTGAATTTGATTTGATTTGATTTAAATGGTCTGAAAAAAATAAGCAAAATTCTTGAGCCAACCCTCATTTCCTTATAGTTTATTTTTAAGGAGCCAGACTTTATTTCTTTCTTTAAAGTATTTCTTCTTAGCTTCTCTAAGGAGGGCAGCCGAAAGAAGACTACATGCACCCATTGCACATTCAAAATCTCTCAGACTAACACAGTCTGAGGCATAAGAAACTTATATGGCCATGAACAGAATACAGTGGAACCCCGATTTACGAAATTAATTCGTTCCTGGGGGTCTTGCGTAAGTCAAAATTTTCGTAAGTCGAAGCACCTTTTTCCATCGCCTTTTGAGTGAGGCGATGCTGGCTGAAGACAAAGTTCCTAGTGGAGGAGGAGGTGGCAGAGGTTGAAGAAAGCATACGTATGCATGCATACATACATACGTGTACATGTACATAACATTATGGAATTTAATTAAATTTTTTACAATTTTCTATTTTATCTATTTCGTTAAGTGGGCATTTTGCCACGGGCAGAAATATTGCCGTTACTTGAATTTTTCATTAAATGGGGTCTTCGTAAGCTGGGGTTCCACTGTATATTTAATTTAAGACATGCTTTAAGTTTTAAATTGTAGAACTGACTTGAGTAATATGTACTGCACTGAGTGGAGCATTAGTCATCCATTTACTTGTCTGTTTTATGCTGGCTCTAAGGTAAGTTTCATGTTCATAGTTTGGCCTCATAGTTTTCAGTTCATAGCTTTCACAGTTCATAGCATTCATAGTTTCCTGCTTTGTAATTTAACTAGGCACTGTATATAAAATACTGTGTTCACATTTGAGTCCACACCCACAGCCTGGCCCTCTCGGCCGTAACAAAGGCAATCATTTCTTTAAGCCATTTGCTTACAAATGATTCCTAACCTCTAATTTGGATGTGGGTGGAGTGCCTACAGAAGTCCATCATTTTACTCTCATAGTAGATATTTAAGTTTCTATTTATTTCTTTTGAAAGAAGTCCACAGAACATGAAACAGAACAAGATCAGAATGAAACGACATCCACAAAAGCTAAAATCCCCCAAAATCAGGAACCAGTTCAAAAAGATTTGGACAAACTGCACAGCTAAAACCAAGCTGACCTCACCTGATGCCACATGCACATAGAGCTGACCACGTTTACTTCCATATGTGTTAGATGCTTCACACTGATAAAGGCCATTTATATCAGAGGTCAGGCTCAGCAGTTGTAGCTTTGCACCGTCTATTTTGACAGAAGACTCCAGCAAAGACTGGCCGGATCTGAAAAACATGAACGAGACCTGAACGTGAAATGTACAGAGAGGGCAGAAAAAAGTGAGTTGTGCTAAAAGCTAAACATGTATGTTTTATAAATTATGGTCGAGGAGGACATTGAGTGGATGGATGCAGGTGAGACTTGGAAGTAACCCTCATGTCTCTTTGAAACTGCTTTGCATGACATGTGCTTCTTATCACCAAGCACGTGTCATGTGCTTGGTGATAACATTATTTCCTGGGGGTTGGCTGTAGCTCAGGAGGTAGAGAAGGTCATCTACTGAATGGAAGGTTGATGGTTCGATCCCTGACTCCCCCAGTCTGAGTGCCATATATCCTTGGGCAAGATACTAACCAGATACTAAGAAGTTGCATCCATTGGTGTGTAAATGTTAACTAATGAGCACTTAAAAAGCATAGAAGAAACTGCTTATGTGAAAGAGTGAGTATAAAGCGCTTTGAATGCTCCAGGAGAGAAGAAAAGCACTATATAAGACTTAGTGCCTTTATTATTACCACTCCCATGAAATGAAATATTTCAACTGGAACCAATATTCAAACTACTTTACCTGCTCCAGGTAAAGTTTGCATTTGGTTTGGCTTCTGTCACACACTCGAACGAGTCCTCTGAAATCACGCTAATGTTCACTTCTGTGGGAGAAACTGCAAAAAGAAAGAAAGAACAAGAGACCTGTGTTAATTCTTAACTGAGTACATCTTAATAAGATCAAACAACTTTTCATATATATTTGAATCAAAACAAAGAAATGCATTTTGGGTACTTTACACTTAGTTTCAAGCAGAGATCATTTTGTACACATTCAAGCATGTTGGTGCTCTGTTTAAAAGCATGGCCTTTATGAGGATTTCAACCAGAAATATAACACCACAGACGAACTGTGTCATTTAAAAAAAGAACCTACAATACTGGAAGAGCATGCTTTGAAAACAGTCTCTAGTGTTTTTGCTTCACCTTCTGCCATTTCCCATGTGTGCTGAATGGATCTCAAACAAATGAAGTCATTGTTAATCTTTATAAACAGGTTTAAGCTGGTCTGTGCACCGTGGTGTTGCCTCAACTGGTGAGAGTTAATTTTTAACCTGAACATCTGCACTCTTACCGAGAACAAAACTCATTCAAGGCAGCTGAAATATCCAAATTCTGGGTAGACATTATTCATTTTGTGATGCTCTCAAGATTCAAATTATCGAACTGGTGTCAAAAAGGGATGCACATTATTTCACACAAGCAGTGTAGATGTGGAATATACAGCTGCTAGTAAGTAAAAAAAAAAACACAGTTGGACTTTGATTAAAGATACATCGTTTTAGTTCTACTTTTCCCCTACCAAAGCCGTGCTGGTACACACACTGATGCACAACTTTATTGAGTTTTCTGCATTTCAGCTGAACTGGGTGGTTCTGTCTCAGGACACAGATCAGGTTCCATTACTCGTCTCATCTTTCGCAAAATCTTTATCCAGCTATTGTGACAACATGAGTGAATGACAGTAGCATGAGAACAAGGATAAAGCTGGTATCCATACTGGGAAAAACAATAAATCAGCTCATGAACAAAGAAAAAAAAGCAAAACCATGTCAACTCTTAACACTAAAGGCTACCTAGAAGTATGAGGTTTATGTCTGCTTTTGTTCAAACCAAAGATGCAGGGTATAGTTTTAAAAAAGTGCAGCTATTACTTTTATTTTATCCATAATTTATGAAAATATTTCTGTTGCATTAGTAGATAATAAAGATTAACTGGTAACAAGTAAGTAAGTTCTATAGTATTGCTTTGCAGTTGCAGTTGCAGTTTAATCAGTTAATCCTGGGTGTGCCTGTGTACTTTTAATATTTGATTAAATAATTAACGTTCTTCAGTCAACGGCAACACAAAAGAAGACAAATAATAAACTACATGAGCAGCTGACACTCACAGTAGACCTGTATAGTGAAGAGCAGACTCTCTTCTTTAGACAGAGAGTCACCGCTGATGACACACTGGACCTGGTGACCGTTAATCTCCCTCGTAGGAACACCAAACAACGAGCTGACAGTGGTAGTTGTATCGTTGTCATACTGGGTGGAGTTTGCCGTCGTCCTCACTTTGTCTCCCAAAGCACCAGTGAACCACCTCACCTCTGCAGGAGGCTTCGATCCAGCAGCTGTGCACGTAGCAAATAAAACCTCTTCAGTGCCCAAAGTGGGAAGATTGTCCTTGACGCTTGTGAAAGGAGGCACTAGGAGAGTTACAGCACACAATTAGTCAACATGCGAGCAACATGGTAAAATGTCTGTCTCACAAACAAACACCCACAATATTTTAAATAAAGTTGTTGTTTTTTTTATATACCAAGCACGTTTAGAGGAATCTCAATCTTCTGATTTCCACTGGGAAACAAGGTGAAGATGCACGTGTAGCTGCCTTCATCCTTCAGGGCAACACTGGATAACTGGAGTGTTCCATTATTGTTGTTAAAATTCCCAATATATTTAAATCGATCATCACCTCCATTGACAAACTGCACTCCCTCTCTGGGTAGGATAGTGAGGAAATTGTCATTGTGAGGTTTTTCTCTCGTCTTCCTCTGCCAGGTAATCTGTGTCAGGTCATCATTGGTACCAGTGACATAACATGATAAGATAGCAGTACCTCCTTGTTCCACTGTCACACTTCCACCAGTCACCTGGAGAGCTGTAAAGAACAGAAAACGTGATTAAGGCAGAGCTGAAAATAGAAACAAAAGAGAATCCAAGTACATTCATATCAAAGTGTGATGAACTCTTTTGTTTTTGCGTGTGTGTGTGTGTGTGTGTATGCTTCATCTTTCAAACAAATTTTGAAATTAAGCTGTTTAGACATTGAAAAATAACTATGAAAAATATTTATAACTAGTTTCTGTGGTGTTAAATCTACTCAAGCTTTAAACTTATTTTGTTCATCAAATGATCAAAATAAGAAAATACACAGATGTCTGGTAACGTAACACAGCTTATTTTCTTCAACTCCATGTAAGCCAGTCAAGGTTATGTGCGTAGTCATGCGCCCACCTCCACTCTTAACAGAGGAATGAAAACAATATTCTCCAGCATCCTCACCATGCCCTTATATAGTTACATAGTTAATAATAATAATAATAATAATAATAATAATAATAATAATAATAATAAACTTTATTTATAAAGCACACTAAAAAACCAAGGGTATACCAAGGTGCTTGAGAAAAAATAAAATAGGAAAAAGGAGATGAGAGGGAAAAGAGAAAGGACCTGGCACGTATCAATTATAAAACCTTGACAATCATAATATATAAAAGTATTTAACAAGCATAACGGATAAAAATGTACCAACGCACACCAAATGTTACTTGGTGGAAAAGCAAGATTAAATAAATAAGTCTTCAGCCGTGATTTAAACAGTGACATAGAGTCAAACGCCCGAATATCAACAGGAAGATTGTTCCATAAGACTACAGCAAACGCACGGTCGTCGCGAGATTTCAGCCAAGAACGAGGTTGCTCCAGAAGAAGTTGGGTAGCAGATCTAAGTGCTCTGACAGGAGTGTGTAACCTGAGAAGCTCATTGAGGTAGCTCGGCGCCAAATTATTAATAATTTTGTAAGTGAAAAGTAGTATTTTAACTTGAATACGGTACTTAACTGGTAGCCAGTGCAAGCCAGAAAGAACAGGAGTGATGGAAGAAAACTTCCTGCTACCTGTCAAAAGGCGTGCCGCCGCATTCTGGACAGTCTGCAATCTAACGAGAAGGGAGGAGGAAAGGCCAATTTAAAGAGAATTGCAGTAGTCCAACCTGGAAGTCACGAATTAATAAGTTTTTCCAGGTCATTATAAGGAATATAGTGCTTAGCCTTAGAAATGAGGCGCCGCTGATGAAAACTAGACCTCACTACAGCAGACACTTACTTGTCAAATTGAAATGAGCTATCCAGTAATATGCCCAAATTACTGGCATAATCAGAAGGGGAGCTAGCAAAAGGCATCAGAGCAGCACACAATTGGTCACGGAGATTTTACTATCGAACACCACGATCTCCATTTTCTTTTCGTTCAGGACAAGAGAATTACGCTTGAACCAATCTTTAACCTCACGCATGCATTCACAAAAATAGTGAAAGGACATAGCAAGATCGTCAGTAATCTCAAAATAAATCTGTATATCATCAGCATAGCAATGAAAGCAATGTACGATCACTCAGGAATAAGACAGACGAACTGGCCCTGATGAGAAGCATGAACAGAGACTTTGCCTCCTCCTGTGTGTTATGTTTTACGGAGACGTGGCTCTGTGAGGACATCCCGGACAGCGCGCTCAAGCTGGAGGGCTTTCATCTGCTGCGCGCGGACCGGCAGGCCTCTCTCTCTGGTAAGACCAAAGGTGGAGGTGTCTGCTTCTACATTAATAGTGGCTGGTGCACAGATGTAACAGTGATTGCTCAGCACTGCTCTTCCTCTCTGGAATACCTTTTCATTCACTGCAAACCGTTTTATTCTCCGCGGGAGTTTGCTTCATTCATCCTGGCCGCTGTTTACATCCCGCCAGATGCGGATGCGCAGGCAGCTCAGTGCGCACTCGCGGAGCAGATACTGCACATGGAGCGGACATTCCCGGACTCTCTCATCATTGCTCTTGGGGACTTTAACAAAGCCAATCTGAGCCATGAGCTTCCCAAATACAAGCAGTATATTAAATGCCCGACCAGAGAGGAGAGGACATTAGACCACTGTTACAGCACGATCAGCGGGGCCTATCGCGCGGTGCCCCGCGCTTCACTCGGACTTTCTGACCACGTCATGATCCACCTAATCCCCGCGTACAGACAGAGGCTGAAGCTCTCCAAACCTGTCGTGAGGACTAAAAAACTGTGGAGCAACGAGGCTGTGGAGGAGCTTCGCACGTGTTTGGAGTCTACAGACTGGGACACACTGAAGGCTGCTTCTAACAGCTTGGACGAGTTTACGGACACTGTCACCTCCTATATCCACTTCTGTGAGGACAGCATTGTGCCATCACGCACCAGGGTGAGTTATAACAATGACAAACCCTGGTTTACTCCTAAACTCAAAAAGCTGTGGCTGGAAAAGAGAAAGGCGTTCAGAAGCGGAGACAGGGACTGCTACAGAGAGGCCAAGTACAGGTTCACTAAAGAAGTGGACATTGCTAAACATCAGCACTCTGAGAAGATGCAGCAGCAGATCTCAGAGAATGACTCGGCCTCTGTGTGGAAAGGTTTTAGGAATATCACAAACTACAAGCCTAAAACCCCCCACTCCACTGACGACTTGCTCTTGGCCAACACCCTCAACGACTTTTACTGTCGTTTTGACGAGCCATCAGGCAGCCTTCACACCTCCAACGGCCCCAACAATAGAGACACTTTGGACACTCATTCCCCCACCTCTCCCCCCTCCATAGAGCCATCACCACCTTCAATCACTTCACCTGCAACACCCCCCTCCTCACCCCACACAAAAGAGGATTTCACACCACCTCCTCCCACCACAACTCTTCATATTCATGAAGCAGATGTGAGGAAGCAGTTTAGGAGTCTGAATGCTCGAAAAGCTCCCGGCCCAGACGGTGTGTCTCCTGCCACCCTCAGACACTGTGCAAACGAGCTGGCCCCAGTGTTTTCTGGCATTTTCAACTCCTCACTGCAGGCATGTCATGTGCCTGCCTGCTTCAAGTCCTCCACCATAATCCCTGTCCCCAAGAAACCTAGGATCACTGGACTAAATGACTACAGACCCGTGGCTCTGACATCTGTGGTCATGAAGTCATTTGAACGCCTAGTTCTCTCCCATCTCAAGACCCTCACGGCCCCCCTCCTGGACCCCCTGCAGTTTGCATACAGAGCCAACAGGTCTGTAGATGACGCCATCAACATGGCCCTACACTTCATCCTGCAGCATCTGGACTCCCCAGGAACCTACGCCAGGATCCTGTTTGTGGACTTCAGCTCTGCCTTCAACACCATCCTTCCAGACCATCTCCGAGGCAAGCTTTCCCAGATGAATGTGCCTGATCCCATCTGCCGGTGGATCACTGACTTCCTGACGGACAGGAAGCAGCATGTGAGGCTGGGAAAGAATGTCTCGGACTCCCGGACCATCAGCACCGGCTCCCCTCAGGGCTGTGTTCTTTCTCCTCTGCTCTTCTCCCTGTACACCAACTGCTGCACCTCCACCCACCAGTCTGTCAAGCTAATCAAGTTTGCAGATGACACCACCGTTATCGGACTCATCTCGGACGGGGATGAGTCTGCCTACAGGAGGGAGGTTGAACGTCTGGTGTCCTGGTGCAGCCACAACAACCTGGTGCTGAATGCCCAGAAGACAGTGGAGATTATTGTGGACTTCAGGAAGCACACAGCCCCACTCCCCCCCATCATCCTGACTGACACCCCCATCACCTCTGTGGACTCATTCCGCTTCCTGGGTAACACCATCACCCAGGACCTGAAGTGGGAGCCCACCATCACTTCCGTCATTAAGAAAGCCCAGCAGAGGATGTACTTCCTGAGGCAGCTGAAGAAATTCAACCTGCCAACACGGACGATGATGCAATTCTACACTGCAATCATCGAGTCCATCCTCACCTCCTCCATCACCGTGTGGTACGCTGGAGCCACTATCAGGGACAAACAGAGACTGCAGCGTGTTGTGCGCTCTGCTGAGAAGGTGATTGGCTGCAGACTCCCATCTTTGCAGGACCTGTACACCTCCAGGACACTGCGGCGTGCAGCTCGGATCTCAGCTGACCCTTCTCACCCTGGACACAGTCTGTTTGACCTGCTCCCCTCAGGCAGGAGGCTCCGGTCCATTCGCACCAGAACCTCTCGCCATAAGAACAGTTTCTTCCCCTCTGCTGTCGGACACATGAACAATAACCGTATGACTGTTCCCACCACTAACACATGACCCTACGCTGTGTTCACTGCATCATTCCATGTTTGGCACTGATCACCACCTGCACTCATGTATATATCATGTATATATCTATCTACTTAGCACTTTTAATTCTTATTCTTATTTTTATATTTTTATGACAGTATGTTTGCACTGAAGCACCGCAGCAATTTCCTAATGTTGTAAACCTGCTCAACATTTGGCAATAAAACCCTTTCTGATTCTGATTCTGAAAGGCAATATTAGACTTCTCAAAAATTGCTCCAAGAGAGAGCAGATATAGTGAGAAGAGAATAGGTCCTAATACAGATCCTTGAGGCACACCACAGCGTACAGGTACCGAGGAAGATGAGAAGTTGCCCAAATTAACCGAGAAAGACCTGTCAGCAAGATAAGATTTAAACCAGTTGAGGGCAGTGCCTCTTATACCCATAGTATGCTCAAGTCTTAGTAGAAGAATGTTATGATCGACCATATCAAAAGCAGAGGAAAGGTCCAATAAAACCAGGAGCACAGAACTACCAGAGTGAGTGCTTACAAGAAGGTCATTGAGAACTCTAAGCAAGGCCGTTTCAGTGCTATGCCGTGGCTTAAAGGCAGACTGAAATTTCTCTGCAATGTTGTTCGCGTCTAAATATGCCTGAAGCTGAGAAAGAACTAGTCGCTCCAGGATCTTGGACAGAAACAGAAGCTTAGAGATTGGTCTATAGCTCAAAAGATCATAACAATCAAGATTCTTTTTTTTCAGAATAGGCTGGACTACAGCATGCTTAAAGGCCAGTGGGACAGATCCAGAGAGTAGAGAAAAATTCATTAAGAACAGAATGCTGATCCACACAGGTATGCACACATGGGTATTCACAGACGCGGACTAAAGCTTTCTTGGCTGCTGCCTCAAAGCACACTGTGCGCTGTCTATCTTGCGTGCTGCACAATATCGTTTATTACTTAGTAAATACTGATATCTATGACTAGCTAGTTTATTGTGATGGTGCTTTGTTTTCTCTATTATTATGTTGCTCTTTGTTGTTTGCTGTCTCCTCTGTTTGTTTTTGTTTGTTTGTTTTTTGTTTTGTTTTTTCTCCATACAGGTGACCCAGGAGTTTTTTTTTTATTTTTTCTCTCTCTTCCCCCCCTTCTCACCGTCTCTTCTCCCCTTTGGTTTTCTTTCTTTCTCTCCCCCTCTCTCTCTCATTCATTCCCCCTGTCCTATTTATTAAAAAAAAAAAAAAAAAAAAAAAAAAAATGACAAAGGATGAACTGAAGCTCTGCCATCACGTAATGTCGCATACTGCTGTTTCTGATGTCATTTAGAGAAAAAAAAAAAAAAGAACAGAATGCTCCAATTACATCAAAGCAGCCCTTAACAATGCGTGATGGGAGAATATCAAACACAGCATTGGTGTTTTTCAGTTGATCAACCAGCTGCTTCAGAGTTTCAGTTACAGTTAGCTACATAAAAACTCTGTATTGTAGTTCAGTAACATGTGACCATCCTGTTAGGCCATTGCTTGGATTCATCTGTTCTCTCATTGACTTATAAATAACATTATATGAAAAATGAACAATAAGCAACATTCTTGAGGGCATATGAGGAAGAGAGTAGTGCTACTAATTATACAGCACGTCCATGAACAAAGAACTACTGTTTATTGTATTAACACAAACTGAAATTACAAGCAGAAACCATCAATTTCAAGTTAAATATGCACATGTAACAAATAGATAATAAATGATAATACACCACCATTCACTTTTATGAACCACAAAGGTCGTTTAAAAAATAATAATAATAATAAGACCCTGCAGCGCACATTGACGCCATGTCTTGTGAGCCAAATCTCTGAAGCGTGAATGTGATAATAAGGAGCTGCAGTGGATAAATACAACATTCAAATTCAGTTCATCGTAGCCTTGGTACTACAAATACCTTCTACGTCAGCACATAGAAGAGACAACGTCAGGAGAAGGACACGTAGCAGCGCAGAGTCACATATGGACGGTATAGGAAGCAGCTCCATCCATCCGCTAATCATCGCTGTCCACTGATCATAATATTTACGCATTCCAACTTCCGGGAGAAAAAAAGTCCACAGCCCAAAAATGCTAGAACACAACAGAACCGATGATTCTGTTGGGAGTCTAGCAAAGAAAGTAGGCGGGCTATAAAATGGCTGGATACTTACAGCGACACACAGAGGGAGGAGCAGGAGGGGGGAGGGGACGGCGGAAATAAAACCTTTCACGCATGAGATGAATTAAGGATGCAGCTTTCTGTTCAGCCTTTTAAACAGCGTAACCGACGAAAACACGCGTGGCTTTACCTTAAATGTACATCAAAACAACGGCGATCACGGGGAGGACCAAAATCCTTGCTGTCTGAGAAAAGAGTGGTTTTTTTTTTTGGTTTGTTTTCAGGGGAGCATCCAGGATTTTCCTTAATTGGTTACCACAGGACCCGAAAACCAGACAGAGGGGCTCACATTATTCAAATCTGAATAAAACACTGGGCGCAATTTTCAGGTTAGTATACACCACTGTGTCCTGTTGTCAAGAAAACATGGTGCTGCACAAGGGTTTAACCCTCTGGGATCCAGGGTATAATTGGCCGTTTTTGACTACTTTTGATTTTACCTCTATATTTCACCTTTAAAAACTGTTTATCTTGCCTTGTTTGGTATTATTTTTTTCAGCACAACCTCAAATATCTGAAATTTTAGTTATTTTTCATTTTGGTATACTATATTAGCACAATTGATCTAAATTCAGACAAAAAATTCAAAATCCAAATAGAAAAAAGTTATTTTTTTTACTGTAAAACCCACAAACATGTTTAACGAATCATTTTCATAAATTGAAATGCAAATAGAAATTGTACGTTTCTAAAAATTATGCACAAGTTTTGCAAACAACAAAGTTATATGGTATTATTTACCTAAAAATGCAGCCAAGGCCTCAGGCATTTTTTATATAACCATTTAAATCTATTTACAGAACAATCAGGTGTTCTGCATCAAATAAGAAGGCACACAATTTATTTGTGCCAGTCCAAAAAATAGTTTGTGTTCAGTATAAGACAGAGGAGAACAGCACAGGCCTAAACCCTGCAGGTCTGACAACAGGAGGTGCATCAGTCCTGTTTTCCATGTGGGAACAGCGTTTACACTGGAATCTGCCTTTGGTGGCTTTTTTGGAGCAAATGTGACATTCAGCAGTATAACTGACACACAATACAAAACAATAACTACACAACACACTAACTACAGCCTCCAAACACACTAAACGTCACTAATGTCTCACATATGAAAACTCGCTCTCTCTTTCTTTCCCTCGCCCGCTTGTCACTGCTAAAACTTCCCCTTCTCCCTAAACAACCAAGTACCACATGTTGCCATATGATTTTTTAGATTGGCTGGCATGGTAAACTCTAACACCAATAGGGAAGGGGTACCTTGTTGAGTAATTGTTTTACAAAGCAGGAATAATGTATTTAGATTTTTTCCTTCAGTAAACAGAAAATAGTGAAAGCTTCTTAGGTAGGATGCAAGGGCGTAGATTTGGCATGGACGTAAGGGACATGTCCCCACCAATATCCAGCGATTATTGAATTGTCCCCACCAATAATCCTACGTCATGTGACAAATATGGCCAATGTGATTGGCTGTGCCTTTCAGGGAGCTCTATTTAGTTTTAGGAGCTGCAAGTCTGCGCTGCGAGGACCTGCAAGGAGGAGAGGAGGATGGCAGCAAAAAGGAAGAACCTGGATATAAGAAAGTATTTTTCAAAGAAACCTGTAAGTCACTTAAAGCCAAGTTAACTCATAAAATGTGTCCGTCATAATAATGTTACAGGCTATGCTAGGCTTTGGCCCACATCAGTCTAAAATTGTATGTAACCATGAATAACGTGTTTTGGAAGCTAAATGCACAACAGGCAGCACTATTAGTTATCTCAGTCTCCCAGAGTAGCAATCAATCAATCAAGGCTTTGTTTGCCACGTGCAGGTTGCCCTGCAGTGAAATAGGACACCTCCCCCCCGACCTTACACACACAACACAGACATCACATGGGGATACAGGTCGGAGATCGGTAGCGTTACAGAAAAAAGGGAGGACAGCATGAGAACAGGAAACAAAAAAACTCCTCTGCACAAAAAAGCACATAAATGTCCACAGCACAACATTATGGAACACGTGACAAGCCACAGGGTCGGGTGGGCGGTGAGGAGTAATCCGAAGCAAACACAGCAGCCATCCTGCCCAGCGCTACCATTCCAACGCGGGCTCAGACCTGCCATGTTCCCCAGGAGGGAACAAGCATCGAAGGCGTTTGGAAAGGGAGGGGAGATGAGTGTGTGCATATCAGTGTATATGTATGTGTGTGTGTATCTAGAGTTCAGCTGGGACAGTGTCCTTCGCCCTGCCAGGCTAAGTAAACAGTCTTCCAGCCAACCCAGGTGGCCTTGCACAGAATGGGAAGGAACAGACTAAACACAGTCGTTATCAGGGAGTTTTTGTTCGGCTCTAGCCTTGAGACCGCAGCTGGCGCTGAAAGGGTATCCGCATGAAGTGATGGTGCTTTTTACTTTAGTGCGAACAACTCATATGAATTTCAAAGCAGTTCTAACAGTCCAACACTGGTCTCTCAATCTCCCGTTGGAGAGCCGTGAGCTTCTCCATGATGTTATCAAACTTGCTCTCTGTGATGTTGTCATTCTTGTGCTCAAAGAGCCGATTCTGAGAACTCACGACTAGGGATGGGCACCGGTGTGTAAATGAGATTACACAACCGAAAAGCAGCGCACATTTCAGTGCTTTATTTCGGTGCTTTTTTTTCCTGAGATGTCACACACTTTGGATTCCAGCCAATCATTTTACCTTTGCAAGCGTAGTAGGCGGGCCCAGGTACGTACGTTCTTTTAGAGCAGAGCTACATATTAAAAATGCCCAAGGTGAAGCGGTCAAAAGTCTGGCTGTACTTCACAGCAAAAGATGCAAACTCAGCAGCCTGCAAGAAGTGCTTTAAGGTGATACTGTGCAAAGGAGGCAACACCTCGAATCTGATGAAACACCTGGTGACGTATAGCGTTTTGTTAAAAGCCGAGAAATGCGCTGTATTTGATAGCTTGCTGCGAGACCTGACACCGTGCACATCTACTGCGCTTGGGTTGCCTGTTATCTGACCCGGACTTAGCAACATCCCCCAAAAACCTGAAGAGTAGAGTTCTGGCCCCTAGCCCTGCCAGTGTAGCAGAAATGATGACGGATGATGATGGCAGCAACAGCTGTTCTTCTCTGGGTCAGTAGCTTAATGTTGTTCGTGTGTAATTTACGTTGAGTAGGCTAACCACGTTATTAAATTAATGCATGTAAGGTGAACTAGCAAACATCATCATAGCTACATGTGTCTGTCTTCTTGTTTGATGGCAGATACTCCCTTCACCCTGGCCAAAAAAGTTAAAATGACCAAAGAAAAAGTGGAAAACAGTTAAACATGAGAGGCTTTTGGACAAAGTTTGTGTTTTCCATTGTTTAAGCACTGCTTCCAGCCAAGAGTGATGCCATAAATCCCCTATAGCTGCAGAAAAGTCTAACATTGTTATCTTTTTACAAAAAAAACAGCTGAACATGAGAGGTTTTTGGACCAATTTTGTGTTCTCCATTCTTTAAGCACCGGTTCGAGCACCGGTTTGAGCACAGTTTAAGCACCGGCACCGTTTCAAAAGTACCGGTTTGGTACTGGTATCGGATAAAACCTAAACGATACCCATCCCTACTCACGACCACAGTGAGCCTCAAAGAGTGAGTAAGGTCAACAATGACTCAAATGAGATTACACAATCCTGATGTATGCCATGACCACCAAGAGAGACTGGACAGTATAGATGTAAAACAAATATGGCAGCAGTTTATCTCAGTTAACGAGTGTTTGGCTACTTCACACAGTGGACATTGAGTTGTTGTGTGGGACATGTAGTCCATGTCTGTTGCTGTACGGTAGTTCATGTTTAGAATAAAAAAATCCCAGCTCACTGATTTGATAGGAGCAATAGTGCCTAAAATGTTGCATAATTTTGCTGAGAGATCTTTTTCTTTGTGATAATCTTAGATGAGTAGTTAATGGACAAAAACCACCAGGTCATTCAGTGTTCCCTTAGTGTCAAAGTATAACAGATGTTGGTGTACTATAACTGAACTAATGTTGTTAAGTCCCTAAAGTCATATTCTTTTTATTGTCATGACTGTATTTGAAGCTATTTTTATTTTTGTATGATACCTGATTTATATGGAATATGGCTGAAGTAAACTAAAGCCTAACTTAGTCAGTCATTTGTTTAATAGTAATTTAACATGATATAATTCACATATAAAACTATGAATTGTAATTTTAAATAGTTTAAAAGCATGCAGAATAGGATATGTAGGCAAGTGTATTTCTCCTTTTTTATCAAGAAGCAAAGACAAGAAGGAGGAAAAAAAAGAAAAAAGAAACAGGGCAGGGTTCGGTGGTTGAATCATCTGTCCCCACCAATGCCAAAACCAAATCGCCCTTGGTAGGATGCTTAGGTAATTTACATCTGGGAGATCTTAAAATTTAAAAAATATACAAATTATTATATTATTATTTGTTGACATTATTAGAATTTTGCTCCTCAATTTAGATGATGCAGTAAAACCAAGAGATGTGTGATGAAATGTGTGAGCTGATTTCTTGGCACTACCTTATAAGTGATCAGCCAGAGACCATTCATTAAACCCTTCTTTGCTTCTTCTCCAGTTAAGTTCAGACAGGCTGCACAGACCTTAGAGAAAATGGTGTAGAGCGCCAGGGGTGTCTTTCTGTTCAGACATCCAAACATCAGATCACCAGGTCAAAAAAAAATTATTTTACTGACTTAATCTTCCAAATTAATGAGGTACAAGATCAGGACCTTTTGAAAACAAAACAAAACAAAACAAAACAAAAGGCTTCTTAGTCCTTATGAACTGTAACATGTCTCCTGTTTTCATTCTTTTTAAATCATTGGAATTAGAATGCAAGTCATCTAGTCTGGCAACTTTCTGAATAAAGAACAATTGTTAGTTGCATGGGCTTTTTTATGGCAGCTCCTTCCTCCTCATTGATCTAACAGTGCCTCTTTGTTTGGATTCCTTAGACAGTTTCCTTTTGTCTAGGATTCTCACTAACAAGCCTCTTTTTATTTCTTATTTAACCTTTATTTATACAGGTAGTCCCACTTAGACTGGGCTTACTACCATCTAATCCTGCAGATGATCTGCAGGGAGTATGCACAACTCCCTAGTGATCAGGGGTGGCAGGGGTGGCATGGGTTGTAATCTCCTACCACCCCTAGTGGCAACCTGATTTTACAAAAGACAGTGTTGTTTATTAAAATAAGATGGCATTAGCACCTTGAGCCTAGCTACACTAAACATTGAATAGAAATTCTAAAACTGCATAATGTATTGCATATGATTGCCCCCCCCCCCCCCCCCCCCCAAACAAACAAAAACAAACAAACAAACAAAAACCAGCACACTGTAAACTATTAAAATTTCCACACAGCCTAACTCAGTGATCAGGGTCACCATAAATCCTGGCATAGTTCATAATTTAAATACAAAAATTAACATTTATATTTAAGAGAGCAAAAAGTCATGGCCCCAGTAAATAAACAAAAATGTCAAATGCAGAGATATTTTTTATTTTTTTGCCTTTTATTGTCTTTGTTGCATCTTTATGTGCGATCCAGTAACCTTGGTTTGCAATACAAGAACTACACAGATAATTATGGAAGGTTATTATTCTCTTGATTATTGTTCCAAGTGTGACCAAAGGTCACCCAGTGTGTCCTTTGTCTTATATTCTCCATAGCAAGCAAGTACTAAAAACAGAGGCTTAGAAAAGAGAATATATCAGCAGTGTTGGGGAGTAACGGAATACATGTACCGCCGTTACGTATTTAAAATACAAAATATGAGTAACTGTATTCCGTTACAGTTACCGTTTAAAAAGGTGGTATTCAGAATACAGTTACTTTGTTGAAATAAATGGATTACACTGCGGTACTTTCCTGTTTCATATTGTCGCGGGTCAGGACTGTTTGGGTTTTGTTTGACAGCTACGTTCTGTTGTTCCAGGCGGCAGCGTTATGGTTGCGATGGTTACAGGGCGACGCTCTCTCTCTCTCTCTCTCTCTCTCTCTGCGACTGTGTGTTTCCTGGGTGAGAGAGCGCCTTTTCGTTGTTGTTGTTGTGCTAAGCTAACAGGCAGAATGCTACAAGCATAGCTCTAAAGAATGTAGCATCGTGGGCAGTGTAGTCCGTGTTGCAGGGAGCATGGACTGCCATACACGTTATGGGTCTGTGAGCGCGAGGAGGGAGAAAAAGGGGAGTGGAAAGGTACAAGTTGTCATCGGGGAAAACGGGAGCTGGAAGCATGTAAATATAATAATAACCACTGCAGACAAGAAGAGAGCCTGACGAGCCCAGTTGTAAGTAAGCTATTAGGACTCGACTGTACACCGTGTTCGTGTTTTCCTCCGAAAACAATAAGTTCCATTGGAGCAGTCTTTCAACGCCTCTCTCTGTCTCTCGCAAGAAAAGTTGACCCACACAACAAAGTAAAGCTATTTTTCGGCTACGAGCCGACAGGGACCCCGCCGTATCAGTCAGAGGTCCCTTTACTACAGTTCGGAGTCGCGGACCTTCAGTAATAGTAATAAATCACACAGCAATAGTACATTCACGTTGTTGTAAAAAGCATGATAATATATTAAGTAATCCAAAGTATTCAGAATACGTTACTGTCATTGAGTAACGTAACGGAATACGTTACAGAATACATTTTGGGGCATGTATTCTGTATTCTGTAATCTGTAATGGAATACATTTTAAAAGTAACCTTCCCAACACTGCATATCAGTCACAGCATTTTGTGAGAAGTGAGAATGTAATAACAAGTTCCTCTAACCATTTCTCAGAGCTCAACATGATACTAAAAACAACCCAGTTTCTGAATCTCATACAGGTCCCTGCCTGGGGCTCTTGAAAACAGGAACAAAACACAATAGGAGCTGTGGGAAAAAAATATAAGTAGTATTTGATAATACTGGTGGTACAGATGCTGACTTATATTGAGCCCGTTTTTAGGGCGTACCCATGACAGATTAGCTTAATACAAAACAAGTGATCAGCACAACAATATTATCACAGAACATATGAAAAGCATGTGCAACGTAATCTGATCAGGATGCCTCCGGGGCATGTCCCACATGTATGCGGTCCCCGAGGCAGGTCCAGGACATGCTGGCAAGTTTACATCACTCAGATGGCTTTATATGATTGGAAAAGGTTAAATAAGTCGCTGGGATGAGGAAGATCTGGGCATGTCTAAGACTGCAGCTCAAATGGATAAGTGGTAGCAAATGATTGGATGGAAGCAAACAGAAATCTAAATGTAATAATATGGAAACAGGATTTTGGAAGAATTTCTGAAAATGTTTCCCCCAGTATATGGATAGGAGTGCAATACTGTGGACAGTTTCCCTTTAGAATACAAAAGATTTTTAGCAATTGTACTGATAGTGCAGATCTATAGTTTCAGATCACCTACAAAGACACAATGAAGCTTATAAAAAGTTTAGTTAGCCAACTCAACCAGTGGAATTACAGTAAAAATCTCTCTCTCCTCACAGCACGTGAGAGACTGAAGTTCTGTCTCACAAGACTTATAATTATCATGTATTTCCTGTTTTTGTGACAGAAGTCAGTTCCCAACCTCATGATCACATGCTGAGTTATGACACTTTGGTCTGTGTATCAAATTTATCCAAAGTATCCAAATGTGATCCTAAAACCTACCTGAAAAGCCTTCAGTTGATTCAACATGCTGCAGAGTACTGACAGTGACTTGAAAAAGAGAGCATATTTCTCCCATACTGGCTTCTCTTCATTGGTTCCCTGTTAAATCCACAATCATATTTAAAATCCTTCTCCTCATATACAAGGTCTTGAATAATCAGGCCCAGTCTTGTCTCAAAGACCTCATAGGTCTGTACCAACCCAGTAAAGCATTTTGCTCTCAGACTGCTGGTTTACTTGTGGTTCATAGGATATTTAAAGGTATCATGGGAAGCAGAGCCTTCAGCTTTCAGAAGCCACTGCCTTGGGTGCAACCTCATGAACAAAAATATCACTTTGGGCCAGACTGCTTTAATGTTGCAAACCATGCCAGTCCTAAAAATATAACACTGTGCAGACATGGATAAATATTCTACTTAGACAAACAGATTTTTTGATTTTGTGCAAGATTGAGATGTGCAAGCCATTTTTTACATTATAATGTTTTCAGTTTTAACATTATTTGATATAAAAATAAAATAGACATTAACTTTTCTGAAGGAAGGAAGTAAATAAGTAAGCTATCTACTGCTAGGAAAGTCGAGCAGTGGCTTCTATGTGGACGTTATGAGTTTAATTTCTCTTTTCTTGTTAATGGGCCATCCTACCCTCTTTCCACTTTGCTGAGCCAAGCGTGCTGGCACCTGAACCAAACCAAATCATGAAATAACGAAAGGAGGAGGGAGGCGGGTTCAGAGGCTGACTGGATTTTGCGCTTTGTTGCTGCCAAAAAACAAAACTAATTCTAGGAAGCAAAAAGGTTTATAATTACCCTGCGAAGGAAACATTTTATGGACAATACGAAAAATGATTACAGGCATGGCCCTTTAAGACTGTAGCCTCATGGGCGGTGTAGTCCTTGCTGCAGGGAGAACGTGTGGGACCGCCCCTCCCGCTGTGTGTTTGTGAGCGTGAGGGAGGGAGGAAAACATAAGCCGAAAAGTACTAGGTGCTACCGAGCAGAAACGGGAGATGGAAACATGTAAATATAAAAATAACCACTGCAGCCAAAAAAAGTGCCTGACGAGCCCAGTTGTAAGTAAGCTATTAAGACTCGACTGTACACTGTGTTCATGTTCCCTATATAATCACTGTGCTTTCAAATCCTCTGTAACTTAACAGCTTACATTATCAGGAGGAAAATAGAACAGACAGAACAACTGAGCTCCAATCAGCACAGACAGACAGACCAGCTGCAACTGCATTCACACATTGACAAGAACACAAAAGACAAGAACCAACAAACTTAAAAATTCCTTTGTCCCACACGCCATCAGACTGTTTAACTCCTCTCTGGAGGGGAGAGGAGAGGGAGGGGAAACAGGAGGACAAAGGAGGGGGGAACAACTAAGCTGTAGTGCCTCTTCACTTCACTGTGCAATACTTTTGTTAATAGTCAATGGTGCAATAGACCTCAATACTTTAAATGTGCAATTCACTTGTATTTTTATTTTTATTCCTATTTATTCTATTTATCCCCTTCGTATATTTTATTTATATATGTCTCTGTATTTATATATGTGTGTGTGTGTGTGTATATATAATATTCTGCTCACGCTCTGTAACTTCTGTTGGTGGTCTTATCTTATCTTATCTTACATTGGCTGTATACTGTCATGGTGCTTTTCAAATGCATAATGTGCAAAAAAGACAAAATGTGAAAGTCTGAGTGATGTGATATTGTATCCTTACGGGTAAGGTTGTACCAAGCAAGTGGGGAAAAAAACAACAATTAGATAAAATCAAGTAACAAATAATTTAAGTAATTTAATTTAAGTATTTCACTGTATTTCTATCATTAACCATGAATCATTTCACATCACTGTAATTTAACACATGGCATACAGGACAAGAAAGGCAGGCTTGTCAAGTCTAAAAATAAACATAAATGAAAACCTACCAAAGTAAAACATTTTTTCTCCTTTCATCTTGAACAGTGTTACTATAAAGCTCCCCACCTGTCTGAATCCATCCTTAACATTACTGCCATCCTGTGGTAGCTGTTGACAGTGGTTCCCGAAACCTGTGTTTTTTGTTTCAATCTTCCAAAAGATTGCAGCTCTCTGTTTTGCTGCTGTGGTGAAAGAGGGCCCAGGATTGCAGACATGGAGGCAAAACAGAGGAGTTTCAGCCAAAGGAGAGCCTTTTAATGAAAAGGAAGCTAAATACAAACTGTCTAACTAACAGGATCACGATTGGAACATAACGGAACAAGGACAAGGGGAGACGGACGCAATATATACACAGGAGGGTGGTTAGGAGAAGTGGACACAGGGAACATGGGAACACAGCTAGAGAAACATAGACATGGTGAGATGGGGGAAGTAAAGCAGAACACGAGGCACATGAGATGATGACTACTAAAGTAAACAGGAACACACAAATGCTGAGACACGGACACAGAGATGTGAAGAGAGAGAGAGAGCGAGAGACATGACTGAGGAAACAGATAGGCAAATAAACATGGAGTCAAGACTGACTTCACAGCGAGACGCAGAGGACAAGACACAAATGACACAAAGACAAACCTAATATCAAACAAGACACCTTGAACTAGAAATACAGATAAACTCAAGACTAAGAGACTAAAGTCAAGCTCTGTGTATGCTCTATAAACAAAATTGAATTGAACTGAATTGAATTGAGTTTGACTTTCATATAATCCAATCTTAAAACATGCATGTGTCATGGTGGGTCTTCAACCAAGTTTTGAATTTATTATGGTCTTGTGATTCATTCCTTTGGATTTAAGAGATTTTTAGTCGTGACTTTTGTTTTCTTTAACAACTGCCTTTATTTTTTCTACCTCTGGGCTGTTAAGTTATATGAGTTTCCTTTTGTGTCTAGTTTCCCTGTTTTGTTACCCTTTGTTTCTGCGGTCATGTTCCTGTGTTTGTCTCATATCCCTGTGCTTTTAAGTTAATCTGTCTGTGGTCCAGACCCTGTTGCAGGTTCATGTGTCACGTATGGTGTCCTGTTCAGGCAGGGGCATCTGTTCTTCATCTGTTTATTTACCAGCTGACTTTAAAATGACATGTTGGTGGAGCCTTCAGTCCAAATAATGTTCATCTTTGCTGTCAGAGAGATTCCTGAGGGATCATACGGAGCATTTGTTTAGACCTGTATTTAATTTCAACTGAAAATGCAAATACTTTCAGTGTCTGCAGATTTGTATTTGTATTTGTATCTTTATTTATTTCAGACATAATAAAACAAACAAAAAAACCAATATATACTCATCTACATGTATTTTCATTTACGAATATGAATATATGTGTAGATATACACACACACACGTATTTGTACAGACAAACAAGAAAAATAAAATAAAATAAAACACATTCGTCTAACATGAGATAACAGTTGTTTGGTCTGAAAAGGAGTAGGAAGAAGTATGCACATACTTATTAACTCCTACCCCTGCTCAACATCTTATTAATCCCACATATTTACCTAATTCTCCTCATCACATATTCCACACAATACACAAGAAAACTTATATCAACAAGGCTGGCACGATATTTATAATTTAAATACGAGTTGACATATTTATACATACAATGGGTGATTGTCTTTTTCAATATCATATCCTTCCAAGAGTAATTTTCGAAGTGTCTTTATGAACTTGCCAATTCCTGAGCATTGCTGTAATTCTGCAGTAAAGCTATTCCACAGTTTTACTCCATAAATAGTTACGCAAAAGGTTTTAATATTTGACCGTGCTTTAAGCATCTTCAGATTCAATTTACCCCTTAGTTCATAGTCTCCTTCTCTGTCATAGAACATCCTCTGTATATTTCTTGGTAACATATTGTATCTAGCTTTATACATAATTTTTGCCGTTTTGTATTTTATAAGATCCATAAACTTCAATATTTTTAATTTCAAAAACATGGTGTTAGTATGGTCTCTATATCCAGCTTTACTAATTATCCTGATTGCTTTTTTTTAAATTTTACATATTGGTTGAAGTGAAGTTTTATATGTGTTTCCCCAAATTTCCGCACAGTATTCCAAATATGGCAATATAAGTGAACAGTAAAGTACCCGGAGTGATTTGGAAGGCAAAAAATATTTAACTTTACTCAGTATGGAGACACTTCTTGACAGCTTAGCTTGTACATACTTTATATGAGGTTTCCAGCAAATTTTGTTATCTATTATCACACCCAGAAATTTTGTATCTGAAGCTTGCTCTAATTCGACATTATTTACTAATAACTTTGCTTTGGCATCTTTTTTATAATTTCCAAATAACATAAATGTCGTTTTTTCCAAATTTAATGATAACTTATTTCTATCAAACCATGTTTTCAGTTTAATCATTTAACAAAGAACATTTAAACTTCTATAACACTTAACACACACATTAATAAAATGTTTTTTTTTCTTGTAGCTCAGCTCTTTCAAGTAAGATAGATGTAATAAAATGCCTTGTACACAACTAAAACTATAATTGTGTCTCCAGTAAACTGCACAACAGTAGTTAACATTAAAATAAATAATTAATGTACTTTTTTCAGAGACCTATTTAACTGTAGGAGAAACAAAAGTGAGCTATAAAGTATATGAACAAATTAACTGTTACTGACCTCTTGATCTCTCTGTAGGTCTTCTTCCTCTGGTCCGTGATCTTCGTTTCTCACACTCTGGTGAAGTTTTGTGTCATGCTGCTTGCCACCATGTTGGTTTAAAGACCTCCTACTGTACAAAATAGTGACACAGTATTCACAGAGGCTGCAAATTTGTGGACATTAAATCAACTTTTAAAATTTAGCCTCTGTACACTAGAACAGTAGATTTGAAATAAAACAATAAAGGTACAATTTAATTGCAGACTCAGCTGCAACTGAAGGATTTGAACAAAACTTCTGTATTACCTTCAATCATAAATAAAGTCTGAATACTTTGCCGAATACTTTGCAGGCAGTGAGTCTTTTTACTGCATCTGTCTTCAGTTACAATATATTTGTCCAGGGATTCACTTTTATAAAGCCAGGAAACACCATGTAGGATGCGGTTCAATTGGGGTAGACTAACACAATTGCATTCTTATTGGACCAAAGACCGCTTCTTCAGGACCACTGAGGGTACCACACATGACAGTTTCCCCTACTAAGAATAGCAACTACAGCCTCTGAGCTAACTACAGTCTGGTAACCTAGACAATGAGGAGAATGTGCTGGACAGGTGGAGAGAACGTTTTGTATTTCTATTGCACCAAAGTAACTAGTGCACTTTCCTTTTTACAGAATGTAACAAAAATGTGACTTGGCCCCTTGTAATACTGGAAAAAAAAATCATCTGGATATCTATACTGATATGGACTGGGTAATGTGTAAGGAACAAATGGATGCCACATTGTTTAATAGAAATGAAAATGATCTACCTACAGAGGGCTGAATTCAACGCTACCCTGAAAATCAAAGAGGTTTGGGTGATTAGTACCAATTCTTTCATCTGCCTGCATATTCTCGCCTATTAAGGTCAGGAATTATTGTACAAGAGGAGGAAACCAGGATCAACGAAACCAGCGTAGGGCCTGACAATGTGTTCAAGGATTTCATCCTGATTCCTAATGGCAGCCTGTAGAGGTCTCTAGAGGTACATAAGCTTTAAAATGAGAAGTACTACATATTATTCTAGATATTAGATACATGCAAGTTAATATATGAAGTACCTTTGAAAACATCCACGTTTATAAAAGTACCATGCTGCAGCACCAACAACATTCAGGAAAAGCAAAACACCAAATAAGACCCAAGCAGCAGAGCATGCTCCTACAGGGACACAATAATGAAGAACATGAGAATGAGAAGATTGTTCTTTCCCACTTTTATGACATTTCATTTTTTATTACAAACTTAATTCATAAGACTGAGACAATAAGGAAACATAATCCACCCAACAGAAGTCAAGCACGTGGCTCACAAAGAATGAGATTTCCACACTGGATCAGTGGGTGGCTGTGTTTATAATGAGGGTTTACAATGACTTTTGGCTTTTGGCCAACAGGATGCTGGTAGAAACTGTGATACTGATGGCCAAACCATAAAAGAAGTGGCAAAAGTGGCAAGGGGTAGGGGTATTTGAAGTCAGCAAGAGAGAAGCAAAGATAGGGGTATGAAGGTGAGACTTTAAATATAGGGACTATATGCAAACGAAGAGAGCAGTTTAATACAATGTAAAGAGAGAGTAAAGGAGAAAATTGGAGGACAGATGATTCTGGATTCAGTGAAAAGGTGTTGAACACTTATTTTTGGAAGACAGAGGAACACAGGCTGACCTATGAGTGGGGGAAGATCCACACAGGGGGATTATATTTTATGTAGGAGACTGTAAAGTAGTGTCAGGGAGGAGCACAGCTAGGAATAATGATAATAATAATAATAATAATAATAATGGATTGCATTTATATAGCGCTTTTCAAGGAACCCAAAGCGCTTTTACAATTCCACTATTCATTCACTCTCACATTCACACACACTGACTACCAAGCATTGCATGGTAGTCTGTTGGATGACTCTGGAGGTCAAGTAGAGAAAGTGAGTGAAAACAGAGACAAGGATCACACGGTGGAAGCTGAAGAAGGAAAAAATGTGCAGAATTCAGGGTGGAATTAAGACAGGCTCTGGGTTCAAGATTCAAAATGTTTATTGTACAAAGAAAAGCATTTCTCTGTACAATGAAATTCAGCAAAGAGAGAGGTGGCAAAAGAAAAAGGTTTATAGTTGAGCTGAGTGTGAAGCTGGAGACCAAGAACAGCTAGTGAATCTGGAAGTGCATCGGATTATTGTGAAAAGAACTTAAGTCAGCAGAACATGTGCGTGAATGCAGAGTAACAGTGAATATGCAGGGAGCAGAGATACAGAAGGTAAATTCTTTTAAATACCTGGGGTCAACCATCCAAAGCAACAGACAGTGCACAAGAGAGATGAAGCAGAGAGTGCAGGGAGGGAGGGTTCGAGTGTGTGGAGACGAGCGTCACGGGTGATTTGAAATGAGTACATCAGAGTTGCAGCTCAGATTAAGTGGCGTGCAGACAAAGAGAGGCAAGGCTGAGATAGTTTGGACATGTGCAGAGCAGGAATAGTGGACATACTGGACAAAGGATGCTGAAGATGGAGCTGTCAGGTAGGAGGAAAAGCAGAAGACCACAGAGGTGGTGCACGGATGTAGTGAAGGAGGACATGCAGATGGTTGGTATAACAGAGGATGATGCTACAGATTAAAGGAAGCACTTCTTTAAGATAGCTTCTTACTAAAGATTAGTGGAATACATACATAGGTAGAGTCCATCATTTCACTTTTAGCTTAGATGTTCAAGTTTCTAATTATTTTCCTCATAGAAGTGCACAGAAAAGAAAACAGAGTAATATCAGAATGACACAACAGCCACAAAAGCACAAATCCAAAAATCAGAAACAGATATCCAAGCTGACCTCACCTGATGCCACACGCACATAAAGCTGACCGTGTTTACTTCCATATGTGTTAGATGCTTCACACTGATAGAGGCCATTTAGATCAGAGGTCAAGCTCAGCAGTTGTAGCTTTGCACCGTCTACTTTGACAGCAGACTGCAGCAATGACTGGCCAGATCTGGAAAAACATGAATGAGACTCAACATGAAATGTACAGAAAGAGCAGAAAAGTGTGAGTTGTGCTAAAAGTCAAACACATTTTGGTTATCAGCTCTTTGCAATAGATCTTTTCTTGCCCACAACAAGATTTTGTATTTTTTTTAAATTTTCACCTAAATACAAAAATACATCCCACTTAACATGTTCAATTATTTTTGTGTGAAAACAAGCTTAATTTTAGTAAGATTTCAAACCACACTACTCTGGAGAGGGGCCCAGCTAACTCCCTGTTTAGCATCCTGTACGTCAATTTGTAACTCACAAGATTTTGATGTTTTTTATCATCTTTTGTGGAGCATTGATATGAGGATTTAACAGGACACATCTACTGTAAACAGCAGCAAATTCTGACGCCAGATGATAAAACTTCTCAATCCACTGTTAATTTACATTACTAACATGAGCAGAATGGGGTTGCTCTCTCAAGAGGCTCAGAATGAATTAATGCATCTTAAGAGCCACTTAAGATAAAACACCACTTAACTGTTTAAATGCATAAACACTGCATTTGCCAGGAATTCCTCACATCTATAATAATAGCGCTTTTTGAGAACCTCAAAGCGCTGTACAATACCACTATTCATTCACTCTCACATATTCACACACTGGTGGAGGCAAGCTACAGTTGTAGCCACAGCTGCCCTGGGGCAGACTGACAGAATCTAATGGATAAGCAGTGAACTACAGACAGAGAAGCCAAGAAGGACTGCTGAGTCACACTGTATCATTTTAGGACCCATTATTTCATTTCAATTCATTTAAATATGAACTGTTAATACATCCTATAACCTACTCTAAAGAACAAGTATGACTGGATGACTGCTTATTATTAGTCTAATCTAGTGTTGGATGTCTCGAGACCGGTCTTGGTCTCGAGACCACTTTTACGTGGTCTTGATCTCGTCTTGGTCTCGACGGACTTTTGTCTTGGTCTCGGTCTTGGTCTCGCTGTTTCGGTCTTGCCTTCTCAAATCGACATAGTGTTCGGGGGATTTGGAGTCAACCATCAGCGGAGCGGGGGGGTGGCTTACTGGGCTTAAGCCCGGGTCATTTTTTCAGAAGCATGGGGTCTTAGATGCCTGACTGACAACTGTATAAAACAAAAACAACACACGAAGCACAGAGCGCACCGTCGTAAATTCCCCCTAATTTTGGTATGATCCGAGCTCAGGCACTAGGCGACTGAGCTCAGCACCCATGTGAGCGAGGGGGGAGAAGCTGCTGCCTGCGAGTTTGCTGCAGACAGAGGAGAGCTTAAGTTTGACCAGGTACCAAAGAAAATCATTCGTACTGAACTAATAATGTAAATATGACGGTGTATCACAAAAGATTGATATCAAACTGATCACTTGGTTGCGTTACTTGCTCTTCGAGTGAATCAACAAATGGATAAATAAAAAGCCGAACAGCAATGCTGATTTTTTAGAGTCTTAGCTTACATTTCATATTTTCAGTTTTTACCCTCCACGGCTAAACAAACTCTCTAAATCGGTTTCAATTGTGTACTGATGTACACAACAATGGACATAAGGAGCTTCTTTCAAAGAAAAAACTCAGGTAGATGTTATTTTATATATTGTGCTTTGGATGTTGTTCAGTATATCTATGCAAAACAAGAGGAATTTCAATACACAACAGTATATTCACAGTTGAAACCAGATATTTACATACACTTTATGGAGAAAACATAAAAACTTTTTTTTTACTGTTAAACATCAATTTAGAGTAAACTTTTGTTTTAGATAAATAAATATTGAAATATCTTTTGAATTAGTTAAATGTCAGAATAAAAAGAGGGAGCTGTCTATTTTAATCACTTTCATCAAATGTAGGAGCACATATACACTAACTTTATTGTTAATTAATAAGAAAACTCCACACACCTGGCACACCTGTGGATGCATATAAGGCAAAACACAGAGCCTGTTTCTGTGACATGGGAAAATCAAGAGATGTCAACCAAAACACCAGGAAAAGAACTGTGGAGCTCCATAAGTGTGGCTCAATTTTGAATACAATTTGGTGCCATTTGCAATAAAGAAATACAGATAGTTTCTCTCTTTACTCTTAAAGTTAACAAATATGTTTTTATATTTATCAATCTAAAAAAAATAAACATTTAGTCTGATTTGATGTTACAATTTAAAAAAGTGCTTGTGTTTTTATCTGAAGAGTGTTTAAATATCTGATTTCAACTGTATATTTGATGATGTTGGTGTTTGGCTTGATTGTCAGCACAAAGAGGGAGAGAGAGAGGAACAGAGAGGGAGAGAGAGGAACAGAGAGGGAGAGAGATGGAACAGAGAGGGAGAGAGATGGAACAAGAGCAGGTGAGACACACATGTTAGTCAAATGGTTCTTTGCCAAAACTCATCAGAACATGTATCTAGTACCTAGTGTTTCTTTTTGGATACCATTTGTTACTTTTCAAATTCTATATTTATTAAGTTATGCAGGCTTGTTTGCACAACAAGGCTAAATAATTATATAAACTTTTCTCAATCTAAATATTGTACTTTGGTAGAATTAAAAAATAAGTGTAGTGCAGGTCTATGATTATTTTTAGTGCTACTATCATCTAGTTCTTATTCTGGTTCTGTCTTGGTTACTGTTGTAGTCCTGTTTTAATACTGGATCAGTTCTGGGTCTGGTTGAATTGGGGTTTAGTCCCTGTGTCTTGATACAGGCCTGACTTTGTTCTGCCTTGCTGCTTAATTAAAAAACTAGTTTAAGGTGTCCTGCATATGTACTGTATATAGAATAGCATCTGGCTGCAGTTTAAAGACTTTCTTTGTCTCGGTCTTGGTCTTGGTCTCGTCTCGACTCGGTCTCGTCTCAACTTGGTCTTGGTCTTGTCTTGGTCTCGATACCCTCTGATCTTGGTCTTGTCTTGGTCTCGGATTAGGCGGTCTTGACTACAAGTCTAGTCTAATCTCACATCTCTCCAACGGCGCCATCCATATGGGTCACCAACATTATCACCTTTTGTTTTTTGGATCTGAGAGGAGATTATCTCTCAGGAGTCTTTTCAGTTTCTGTCTGCTGAGCTGAAACAGGTTTACATAATCCTTCTCTAGAGTTCCCAGACAACCATTGTAACACCACAACAAAGGCAAGTAGTGTTCAGGTCTCCATACAACAGTACATATGCTTCGAGACAGGTTATAACTGGCCTGTTACAATTTTATTATACTAAACTCAACCTACTTATGTTTTAATATATATATATATATATCATTAACAAGACTGGCTACGGATACCGACTACGGAACGGAGCAGTTGTCAGCCACCTCCTGTACATGGATGACATCAAGCTGTATGCCAAGAGTGAACGAGACATCGATTCACTGATCCACACTACCAGGCTATACAGCAATGACATTGGAATGTCATTCGGACTGGAGAAGTGTAGTCGGATGGTAACAAAGAGAGGGAAGGTAGTCAGAACTGAGGGGATTGAACTACCAGAAGGCAACATTGCAGACATAGAGGACAGTTACAAGTACCTGGGGATCCCACAGGCGAATGGGAACCATGAAGAGGCCGCTAGAAAAGCTGCAACCACCAAGTACCTGCAGAGGGTCAGGCAAGTCCTGAGGAGTCAGCTGAATGGTAAGAACAAGATCCGGGCCATCAACACGTACGCCCTGCCCGTGATCAGGTACCCTGCTGGGGTAATAGGCTGGCCAAAGGAGGAGATAGAAGCCACTGACATAAAGACAAGAAAGCTCCTTACCATGCATGGAGGGTTTCACCCCAAGTCCAGCACCCTGAGGCTGTACGCTAAGCGGAAGGAAGGGGGCCGGGGACTGGTGAGTGTCAGCACCACAGTCCAGGATGAGACAAGGAACATCCAAGAATACATTGGGAAGATGGCCCCAACTGACCGAGTGCTCAGTGAATACCTCAGGCAGCAGAAACCCAAGAAAGAGGATGGAGACGAGGAACCATCATGGAAGGACAGGCCCCTGCACGGTATGTACCACCGGCAGATAGAGGAGGTGGCTGATATTCAGAAATCCTACCAGTGGCTGGACAAAGCTGGACTGAAAGACAGCACAGAGGCACTAATCATGGCAGCACAAGAACAAGCTCTGAGTACAAGATCCATAGAGGCTGGGGTCTATCACACCAGGCAAGACCCCAGGTGCAGGCTGTGTAAAGATGCCCCTGAGACAATCCAGCACATAACAGCAGGGTGCAAGATGCTAGCAGGCAAGGCATACATGGAACGCCATAACCAAGTGGCCGGCATAGTGTACAGGAACATCTGTGCTGAGTACAACCTGGAAGTCCTGAGGTCAAAATGGGAGATGCCCCCAAGGGTGGTGGAGAATGACCGAGCTAAGATCCTGTGGGACTTCCAGATACAGACGGACAAAATGGTGGTGGCTAACCAACCGGACATAGTGGTGGTAGACAAACAGAAGAAGGCGGCCGTAGTGATCGATGTAGCGGTTCCGAATGACAGCAATATCAGGAAGAAGGAACACGAGAAGCTGGAGAAATACCAAGGGCTCAGAGAAGAGCTCGAGAAGATGTGGAGGGTGAAGGTAACGGTGGTCCCCGTGGTAATTGGAGCACTAGGTGCGGTGACTCCCAAGCTAGGCGAGTGGCTCCAGCAGATCCCGGGAACAACATCGGAGATCTCTGTCCAGAAGAGCGCAGTCCTGGGAACAGCTAAGATACTGCGCAGGACCCTCAAGCTCCCAGGCCTCTGGTAGAGGACCCGAGCTTGAAGGATAAACCGCCCGCAGGGGCGTGCTGGGTGTTTTTATATATATATATACACATATATGTATATTATTGTTAAACAATCAACAACTGTTGCAAGTGACCTTCACATTACTTTTAAATTTATTTTGTAAATTTCCATGCGAGCAGCCCAGGAGAATTTTCAGGCTGCTCTTTAACACTCTGACACTGGTCTCTCAATCTCCCGTTGGAGAGCCGCGAGCCTCCCCATGATGGTATCAAACTTCTGTTCCATGGTGTTGTCATTCTTTTGATTCTGAGACCTCACAACTGCAGTGATCCTGATGTATCCCCCCATACGCTTAATGGTGTTATTTTGAGCCTTCACAGCAGCTGTAAGCGTCTCCAAGGTGTTAACCATATTACGTTCGTTGTGAGAGGTCGCGCCTCGTCCCATCGCTTCGATTCCAGCGGGCAGCCTTGGGGGGGTTTGAACAGCCGGTTCCGCTCTCTTATTTCTCCGATAAACCAGGACTAAGCCAACTCCGATCAGCAAGAACCCTGTTATCACGGTTCCGAATAGATAGATATCTTCAGCGTCCTCGATCGACAGTCCCGCCAGGCACATGACCCTCCAGTTCTGCCACCTATCCATAGTGTAACCGGCAGGGAAAGTCCCTCCAGGGCACTCGGGCTCTCCCGAGCCCAGACTTCTCGTTGAGAAAAGGGTGTCAATAGCATTCAGAGACCAGTTGATCAAATCCATAATTCTCTTTAGGTTTTAGAGAACGACAGTGAGAGAGTGTTCCAGGGAAAGTAATGCACACGAGACAAGACAAGGACATAGAGGCTAAGCAGGGAAGATAAGGGTAAGGAGGAGAGGAGAAAAGTGCGACCGCCTTCGCTGAGAGCCAGTGGTAACTGTAACAGTTACCACTGTGTAACAGCAAATACCTTAGAATTAAAGCATTTTAAGAACTGCATGGCAGCAGTCATTATTGCCTGTGAAGCTAGGAGTGTACATATTTTTGTTTATGTTGAATAAATAAGTAACAAGTGGATGAAGGGACTGTATAAAAAAACATCAAAAACATTATCATCAATAGTCACGGGACACTGAAATCTTTCCAAATGACTGAATTTGATACTTTATTTACTATGTGGGCTTTTCCATTTGAGTAGCCTACAACATTTCTTTCAGTTTTATTCATTGTTATGTGAGGAACCAACCATGATTTATTATAACATCTACTTAACGAGAGTGTCTGTGATGTAGTAGCTCATCTGGATCATTATCCGTTTGTGTAATGCTGAAGTACAGAAACAAAGTGATAAGTTCTGTTGGCTCTGCTTGGCTTTATTGTAAAAATGAATGACTATTAAAATCCACTGAGAACTGAAAAAGAGTCTCAAACCAGTAGTGATTGTTGTGAACCAACATGTTCTCATCCCAAAGCGTAATATTTTATGCTATGTGACAAATTGTCAGTATGTTACGCTTTTGGTCACATATGACCCAGTTTGAGTGAGGAACCATTACATAATAATCATGTGCGTATTTCACTAAAATGTGACCAACACTCAAGGAGTAAAAATATTTGAAGTTTAGACATATGATCGATGTCTCACCATGAGTCATCACTCATTCTTTTAACATATGACTGACTTTACTCAACATCCAACTGTGCTATGGTCAATGGCGTGTCCAGCGGGGTGGCCTGGGGGGGCACAGGCCACCCCCCAAACCAGACTGGCCACCCCAGGTGCCACCCCAAAGGCAAAACAATAAAATTCAATCAAATATCAAATGTCCGATTATGTTTTCACGGTGACGCTCAGATATCCGAGTGTAAGTGAATGCAGCATCGCTTCTGCGCTATGCGCATCACGTTAGCAAAGGTAGGAGAGCCAAGCGCGAAAGATGGCACTGCAGGAAACAATTTTTCGGTGAAAGAAAATGAGGACAGAATAAATGTCCCGGTAAGTAATATTAAGTTTGTTGAGTTTAGTAAACTTCGGTGAAATTAGAATACCAAGGAAAAAAATAACACTTAAAGAATTATTGCAGCTGTGGAATATTTCAGACAGTATGCTACTGAGGGCAGCTAACATAAGAGTTATGAGTTATAAGATATAATCTAAGTCGTAACATTGCTGTATGGGGCTGCAGATTTGGTTGCAGGTTAACATAGCTGGACTGGCCATCGGGCATACCGGGCATATCCCCAGTGACTTATTTTTTATTTTTTTTGTAATGGCATGAACAATGAGAGGTGGTGGATTGGCCAGATGCAGGTCGATGTGTAGAAATAACTCCGTTGTTTGGTGGTGGCTATGACGGGGCTTCCACAGAGGCAACAGGTGGATGAGGGAAGGGGAGGCAGGAGGAGAGACCCGAAGCAGCCACCAGTCCAAGTGTCAGGTGAACTGAACTTCAGGTAAGAAGTTATGACCTGCAGTCTATCTGGGTCAGATATAAACCAAGTTTAGGTGGAGTTTATTTTCATGTTGCTGACTTTTTACTGTCAGTTGCAATAACTCATACTGCGTTCTAGCCAGTTTGACAGAGTTTTTATACAGCTGGGTGGGTGCTATGATGTTACTGATAGTGAACTTTATTTTATTCATAAGGTTAGTAGAGTTGCCAACGGCTCCTTAAAAATGGAATGGTCCCTCATTCAGAGAAAATATTACACGTTTCGTATTGAGCTGAGAAGAGACGCAGTTTGTCCCGGACTTTAGCTAGAATGGAAAAAAGACACAAAGCTGGATTTATTCTGTCGTTATGCTGCACAGCTGCCTCTTCTCTCATTCTCTCCTCCCTCTCCTGTTGCTACTTCAATCATGAAACTGATCAATGATCAGCTGATCGGCTTTTCTCTCTTGTTTATCGCCCACTTTGCGCCAGAAAGAGGAAACCAGCAGATGTTGCGCTAAACAACAGCAGCACGTTTAAGCTTGATCGGCTGTTGTTAGAATGTATTTAATATTAATTTCTAGTATCAGCTGATGTTTGCTGGAGCCACAGCTGTAAAGCTGCTGGTCATGATGTCTGTTTAGATATGTGGTGAGAGGGAAACATGAAGATGAAACCAGGAGATGTCCTTACTGAACCATCAGAGCTGAACAGGTGATGGAGAAACAGGTTTACCTTTTAGGTGACATGAATGAGTTGAAGGGAAGTTATGAACTGTTTCTGAGAGACAAATAACACCAGGATCCTTTTTTATGTAGCAGACAGCTGGTAACTGTGCAGGGGCGGGTCTAGCAAAGTTTTGCCAGGGGGCCAGGTAGGGCATTAACAGGGAAAGGTGGGCACAAAGAAATACTTTTCTTTCTTATTCTCATTTAAAATACCTAGTTTTTATTAAATAATTATCTAAATCTTACAACCAAAGTTTTTATCTGACGTAAAATGTATAGAAATCATACATATACCAACAAGACTGTACATCACTGTCACAACAGGGTTTGTTTTCAGTCAAAGTCTTTATGGCTTTACTACCTGGTGGGTCGGTCTGTAGTAAAAATGCCCAATTTTTTTGTCCCAGTCCAGCCCTGCAGGTTAATACTGGCAGTGTCACCATGCCAGCTGACTGTATTTTATCATCAGCCAGTGTTGTTCTTTATCAATATTACCAAAGTTTACGATAAGGCAGCATAGAAAGTATTTACTTGCTTTCAGGTTTCATTCAAATGTTAGTCTTTTCAGTTGTTTCCCCACTTTTTTCCTGTTTCAAAATCAAACACCAGTTTGTGAGAAGATTATCTTCTTTTTTTAACAGGCAGATAAAGTTTTGCATTGGCATTGGCTAATTTGTCAATTGTTTGTTACAAATGTTCGTATTTTAATTTTCAAAAATGTTTTTGCCCAAAACATATGTGCACTATATGTCAGTAAAAATACTATGCAAATATTGCTGTCCTTGACTGCTGAGTAAACACTGACAAAGCACTGATTGTATCTCTTGTACTTTATCAACGCAGTATCTAAAAACTTTGCACCGTAGTGGTTAAAATCTCATTCTAATAAGAGTTAAAAGTGCATTTGGTTATTAGGTTTATAGGATTATTGAATTATGGTTAACGGTTGGTAGAATTTTTTTTTAAAACATTATCTGCCAATTAAATCTGCCACCCTTCTCCAAATCTGTGCCCCTACCTGGCCCCCCCAACAAAAATTTTCTAGACACGCCACTGGCTATGGTAGTTCAGATAGGACTACTGGGAATGAAATTTGAGAAATTATATATGAACAAAACCTCACAAACTTTGTTAACCATATAAAAACACTCTATACCGCTCTTTTTTTTTTCATGGCTCAGCACAGGTCACTTGAGACAAACAAAAAGAACCAATGAAATGAATGTTTCAGCTGAAACTGTTATTCAAGCTACTTTACCTGCTCCATGTAAAATTTGCACTTGGATTGGCTTCTGTCACACACTCAAATGAGTCCTCAGATTTTGCTCTGATGTTCACTTCTGTGGGAGAGACTGCAAGAGCAGAAAGACAGCTGTGTTAATCCTGAACTGAGGACACAGTAATAACATGAAAATAATGTTTCGCCAATGTTTCCTACATCTTGAATCCAAACTCGACAAACTTTTGGGACTGAGGCTGATGTTGTGTGGTTCAGGCCATGATTCAGTCTTTAGCAATAACAATGGTCTTTTTTTTAATCAGTCTAGATGTTTTTGTCTTTCAGAAAGAATTTTCCCATCTATTGTGACAACATGCTACAATGTGACAAACAGGAGGCAAAGTCATGAGATTTGGGATGTTTCACTCCCATTCATTTAAAAAAACAAAAAAGCACACACTCGAGAATAAAGAGGAAAAACAAAACAAAGTATCTGGATAGGACTTGATCCTCTTTCCAGTAACAAACATTTAGGTCCACTTTCTTAGTTTTAGTCATTTCCTTGAGGGTTTTGTCAAACATCAAAGTAAAACTGCCTCTGTTTTATTTAATTATGTAAGGAGTCGAACCAAAGTTTGGTACATGGAATGTTTTGTCTTTACTACACATAAAGCTTTTAGCGTTTTCAGAATTCAGCAACAGATTATATCTATCAGTCCCTTAGTAGTGTCCTAGGTATTCTGTCTGTTATAAATAAACTGTACAACTGTTTCACTAACAGAGTCCTGCGCTTGAGTCTGTTCATGCATTGCGACTGATGCGTCCACTGGCTAATTTTCAGAGATTTCCAAGAAAAATATAACAAATGCATCAACCATGGATAAAAAAAATAAATAAATAAACTACATCAGCAACTGATACTCACAGTAGATCTGTATATCTGATGACACACTGGACCTGGTGACCGTTAATCTCTCTCATAGGAACACCAAACAGAGAGCTGACTGTGGTAGTCGTGCCATTGTCATACTGTGTGGAATTTGTTGTCGTCCTCACTTTGTCTCCCAAAGCACCAGTGAGCCACCTCACCTCTGCAGGAGGCTTCGATCCAGCAGCCGTGCAGGTAGCAAATAAAACCTCTTCTGTGCCCAAAGTGGGAAGATTGTCCTTGATGCTTGTGAAAGGAGGCACTAGGAGAGTTACAGCACTAATTTAAATGAACATGCAAGACAGATGGTAACAATAACTGTTTCTCACATACAAACACAAGAGTATTTTAAAATAAAGATAAACAAAAGTTTAGTATACCAAGCAAGTTTAGAGGTATTTCTGTCTTCTGATTTCCACTGGGAAACAAGGTGAAGATGCACGTGTAGCTGCCTTCATCCTTCAGGGCAACATTGGATAACTGGAGAGTTGCATTTTGTCATTAAAATTCCCAATATATTTAAATCGATCATCACGTTCACTGACAAACTGTGGTCCATCTCTGGGTAGGATAGTTAGAAAATTGTCATTGTGAGGTTTTTCTCTCGTCCTCCTCTGCCAGGTAATCTGTGTCAGGTCATCATTGGTATCCATGACATAACACGATAACATAGCGGTACCTCCTTGAACCACTTTCACATTTCCACCAATCACCCGGAGAGCTGTAAAGAGCATTCACACAAAAATTTAATGAATAATGTATGTGTGTGTGTGTGTGTTGGGGTGGGGGTGGGGGGTTAAGGGTGGTGTCTGAGAGGCAGATGTGCAAAATAAGGACAATCATGGATAATACCTCCCTCCCATTATGAATGAAATGTGCTCTATTTGGAAGCAGCCCTCTCCTGTCGACAGGTTGTGTGTGAAACTTTAAATCATCAAACTGTAAATTATAAATTTTAAATTGTTATTGATCCCTTTACCCCGAGTCCTAAAGTGAATATTTATTTTCTTACTCTTCTTATATTTATTGTTTGTTTATTTGCACTGGTGTAACTGAAGCCTCGTCGTCTCGTCTCTCTATATACTGGACTGTATGTAGCGGAGATGACAATAAAGTTTACTTTGACTGCAGCAGCAAGAAGGCGCACCGAGGGCTCTCGCGCTCACTTTTCGCGTATAGAATTTCGAAAAAAAAACATCGGTGCAAATTATAAGTCTGTATCATGATGTCTGGTGTTTTCGTGTTTGTTGTTTTGTTTTTATTTTGTTTTATTTTGCGAGTTGGTTATTAGATGCTGCTCCAGTCAGCCAGAGAATCCCCGTCCTCTCCTCCCTGTGTCGCAAGCAGCGGGCGCGCCTCGCAAACGGAGGGCGCCCTTATTCCCAGCAAATGGCCGTAAGAACACCGATCAGTGTCTATGCCATCCTCAAAATGCGCTGGCATGATGTCGGGGCAGAGTACGAGCAACTTTTTTGCCGATGCCCGTGATGCCGCCCTGGGCAACCGTCCGTCTCGCCCATATCAAAAACAGTTACTGATGAGATACTTAGCCAGGAGTGGGTTATAAAAACAAAACACGACTCTCAATCCTACACTTTTACATTTTTTAAAAACATTTTTAAAACATAATAATTTACAATTGATGTTTAGCGTAGAAACTCGAAGTGATCACCTACAGTGAAGAAATTAAATACCAAAACGAAGGTGATCGCGGGCAGCTCACTAAAAAAAAGGGGTTTTCTTCTTATTTAAAATAAGAGATGTAAGACGTTTTCTATTCTACCTTCGACCAAAGCAACAGCAATAAAGGATAATCCACGTACCTTCAGCGTCTGTACTCATCAGAAGCACTATCATCAGAAGCATACGTGTCATGGAGTCACATCGTAAAGGGAAACGGTGGCAGTAATTGGCACAAAAGAAGGCAGCTTCATCCATCCGCAAATCTTAAAGTTATAAGAACGTTCCAAAGTCTGGGGAAAAAAACGTTGTTAGGTCGGTAAACGAAATACATATTCGTGTAAACCAGAGGCGGAGCCAGGGGCTTAGCCCAAAAGAGTAGTATGCATGTGGATTTATTTTTTTTTTGGGGGGGGGGGCTAGAAATGACTGAAAGATTAATTGGCTCTGTTTTGACTTTTGCTCAAAAATATATATATATCACATGTGCAGGACACCTTAAACTAGTTTTTTTAATTAAGCAGCAAGGCAGAACAAGGTCAGGGCTGTATCAAGACATGAGGACTAAACCCCAATTCAACCAGACCCAGAACTGATCCAGAATTAAAACAGGACTACAACAGTTCAAAGTCAGGACTACTTGGGATTTAACCAAGACAGAACCAGAATCAGAACTAGATGATACTAGCACTAAAAATCATCATAGACCTGCACTACACTTATTTTTTTAATTCTACCAAAGTACACTATTTAGACTGACACGCCACTGTACACAGATGGTCTGAATTTGTGAAGCGAGTGGTATCGCATTTATCGAAGTCGGCTCCTCGTTGTTTTTTCTAAGCCACGATTAGGCTCATTGAGAGCAGGCATGTGCATGCAGACAGTGTTTGTTTTTACATCTGGTGGGTAACGTCCCTCCCTATATTTTTGGAACAGTACCTCTGAAGCTTGATTTAGATTTCTGCAGGAAATTTACGTTCTAACTTCAGATGTAACACCTCTTAACACTAAACCGGTCCATCATGCTGTTGTTTCCAGTTACAGCGTATATTTCCTGCTGAAGCATATTTCAGGCATAAGACAGAAACATTACAAAAATATACACCTGCAGGCCACTCTATTGTCTTTATTTGACTAAATGCACTAAATTGCTGCCACAAGCTTTTGAACACATGTACCTAATAAAGTGGCTGGTGAGTGTCCTCAGTCCCAGCTCGGATACAGATGTGTCGGTGTGTCTTTGTTCCCTGCAGTAGTGCCCTCTCCAGCTCAGTCATCATCCACATACCCCAGGACACTGTCCGAGCCAAAGAGATCATCGCCTACGTCAACACGCTGAAGACTCAGGTCAGCTATTACGCAGAGAGGCTGTCTCAAGCTGCCAAAGACCAATCGGCCAGCGGACTGGAGTGGACGCTCGCCAGTCTGGTTGACAAGGTACTAAAAGTGTTTGACGTTACGTGGGGACGCTTCATATTTCATTCATACCCTCTTCCTTTAAGACCCGTCAGCTGGTGGCAGTGTGCGGCTGCAAGCTGCTAGCTTCAGCTATTTAGGCCCTGAACGCAGTACGAGTACATCGCAACCAAAGCTTCTCCTTCCGCTGAGTCTGAACAAGTAGTGCTCCGCAATGACAAGGATACGCTGAGAGCAAAGTACAGCGGTCACAACAGCCAGTCGTCACTGCACGTGGACTGGCACGAAGAGGAGTGGGTGAGTTGATCAGCAGTTATTGGCTGTTTTCTGATTCCAGATTTTTTATTTCTTTAGCATGACAACAGACAAGCTTAGTTTCTTGGCACACATTGTGGATACAGCTTGATATCTTAACTACACTCTGAACTCTGTTTTTCTTTTCTTGTTGCTTCTTCTTCTTCTTGAGTCATCCCTCTCATGTTGATTTCCAGCTCAGGTCACTCCTTACTTTTAAGAAGTTGGAGGATTCGTAAGCAGATTTTTCCTTCACCATATCAGCCGACTTTATTCTATGAGAAAATACTCTTAAATGACTCGTCTTTAAAAAGTGTTCAGTGTTTTATGTCTGGTCTGTGTGTCATCTTTGTCTTTACAATGTTGCAGCAATACTTTAGTAATGATATGATATGATATGATATGATATGATATGATATGATATGATATGATATGATATACCTTTATTAGTCCCACAAGGGGAAATTTAAATGTTGGTTTAGTGTAAGCTCAGCTTTTTAACTAATGTAAGAAGTGTTATGACTGACTCGTTTTTAATACCTAAATCTGGCCTCAGTGCACAAACCTAAATGAATCGGTACATATGAAAGCGCCCAAGTCACGAGCTGTGTTCAAGGACATGGATAAAACAAAAAGGTTCAAATTTGTGCCCAAAAACCCCACAAATCAGTGTCACTGTTTTAAAATCTGCTGCGAGACCGCTCTAAATGTCAGCTTTTTCTTTACGTAAAGACTGGGGTCTGTAACATATCAGCTCGTTTCTTATTTATTAAAGAACATGCCTGACACCAGGCTTTTGAGTTAACGGCTCCATTCGATCTCTGCAAGTATTTTTAAGTATTTTTAGGTTCTTTCCAGCAGGATTTGTGGCTAGTTCTGGAGCTTGACCCTAAAAGATTTCAGTGTGTCGGTGCTTCTGCTTTCCCTGTTGTCCTTCTCTTCCGTCTTTATTTCTGTTTCTGTCAAATTTAAAAACAACTGCACTCTGAAATACACACTCTTTGCAAGATGTTGTCTAAACTAGTGGTTGGAAGGCATATTTGTGTTTGGTCTCTGATGGTTTATTTACACTTTTTGCAGGCCACGCCCACGGACTACAGCGCCATGATGAGCAACAAAGCCAAGAAGTCTATTGACTTCCTTCTGATGCAGGACACCGCCCCGACGATAGCCACGGACGTGTCACTGCAGTACCGCCTCGACATCGTCTTCTGCCAAACGGTCACCTACACATATTTTAATTATTGTATGTCTGAGCTGATGCGTTTATCCTGGAGTGACTCAGAGTGAAGGAGAAGGCCAAGAAGAAGTGTAAATATCATAGAAGCAAGGAGTTCAGAGCTCTACGACTTAGTGTCTTTATGGTATTTATGTGTGTAATGGAGACCAGGGGTTCCATTACCCTTACTTGTATTTTTATTAATTGACTGACTGATTTGTATTTAAAAACCGCAATGAAGAAAAACACACACTGGTTGATTGTGATTCTTTATTAGGCTTTTTGGGTTGTTATTTAAGTGACTCGTTAAAGGTGAAGAGACAGGGGGACTGGCCATCCTACCTGTGTCAGGAAAAGAACCTGTGTTAGAGCTGTTCACATTTAATCATTTGTCTGTAACCTAAATTAGTTGTATATGTAAAAAGAGAAGTGTTAACAGTACTCACTTTGTAAAGAGTAAAAGCAGCTCAATCACCTGCTTATGAGCTCCTGGAGAAAACCAATGTGCCAGGCTAGGGGAGTGTGTTGGAGTGATTTTGTTAAAAGTTGTCATTATTGTGCTTGGACCTTGTCTTGAACTGTATGTTCAGATATTTTCTGTTCCTCCCCCACATGTAGGATGTTGGGGATGTTACTAGCTATAGTTTTCAACTGCAGGCACAATCTATGTAAGATTCTGGTTTCCTTATTTGGTAAGGAATGTTCACTTCCTGCCCTTTATGGGCTCACCATGTAAATGGTGGACTGTTAGAGAGGTTAAGCCATATACGAGGTTGAGGGGAGATGACCCTTTTATGACTAGAGATGCGGTTAAAACGTTTGTAAGCAGGAAGTCACGTATACAGACACACATACACTCTCTCTCACTCACACACACACACACACACACACACACACACACACACACACACACACACACAGTGCCTTAGCTTTTACCACACAACATATGGGGTTTACAATGGACGGTTGTGTAACTGTTTTCATTCAATAAAAGGCTGGAGTTGGAGTTGTCTGAGTTTGGGTGTAGAGCTTGCAACTCTGAGAATCCGACCAGGCTTCCCCTGCACAAGTAAAAACCAATCGAACTCTGATTGTCTTACTTTGTTCTGAGTCAGCGAGGGCTGAAACCTAACTGTGGTTAAGGTGTTTTAATGCAGCGGTCCCCAACCGCCGGGCCACGGACCGTCGTTTGGTCGAGAGATGAGGCTCGGGTGTGAAATGTATGGTTTTCAGAGTTTTTATCGTTTTTTATCGTTATTTTGTTATCGTTTTTATCGTTAACTCTGTTTTCCTGGGTCTTTCACGTGTGTTATGAATAAATCTTCTTTTTTTCCGGTATCGGTACTAGTTTTATTTTGTTGTATCTATCTGTGACACCTTAAAGGCCGGTCCGTGAAAATATTGTCGGGCATAAACCGGTCTGTGGCGCAAAAAAGGTTGGGGACCGCTGTTTTAATGTATATAGAAGAGACTGAAGTTTATATGTTATGGAATTATTTATAGGACTTGTTACAAATCTTCATATGTCTATGATGTGTTATATCAGCCCGTTCTCACTCCCGAGGCGTAACATGTCGACGTTTTGTCACGTCCCGCGGCGTTCCTGAGGAACGTGAAAGGAGACCTTCGGCGTTCTTATGGTACGCGGCGGGCTATGGCTGGAATCCAGTCAATGACGCTCCCGCGGTAATAGACGTTCCAGCCCTGTATTCCAGCCCTAAACCTAACCTTATCCCTAGCCCTGACCATAACCTTATTCCTGACCTTAACCAGGACTTTAATGATGTTAAATAGCGTGTTTCTAAGCGATTTGAAGAAAAAGAGCAAACATGTGTAGATTCAGTCCAGACAGTTCTCATATTTCCTCTTTTTTCCGAGGTCGTCATTTAGGAACGTGGTGGGTAGCCGAAAACGTAATATGGTGACGATTTGTCACCTAGCGTAAAATGTTACGCTTTGGGAGTGAGAACGTGTTGGTTATATTGTAGTGGTTTTCTTATGGGGAGGGTTTTGTTTCCCTTTGGTTTGCTGACCCCCAGACTTGGTCTATTCCAGATGCTCACCTGAATCAGGTAGAGTATAACAGGAAGCCATTTGCTTTTCAGAAGGGTTGGATTCTTTGCTGTATCACCATGTGTTCTCATTAATAAAGTACATTTTACTCCAGTCTCGTGCTATTTTAGTGGAAGTGACCCATGACCGTCGGCCAAAACTGACAATATGACTATTAAAAGTCTGAGTAATACTGTAATTTTCTGCTGCTCATTCCTGTGCAATATCCCATCTGACCTCCCGTCATATTTCTTTTCAAGATTTTCTTATTTAATCACTAGTGTACATATATTTATAGATACATATATATATATATATATATATATTTTTAGTCATCTTTTCTCTTTTACCACGTCTTTCAAATATTTTGCTCTTTACTATTTTTCTATTTTTTATTTTATTATATTTTATTATATTTTCTTCTACTGTACCATGCTGCTGAGTGACTGCTGCTCGTCAAACACATTTCATTGCAATGTTGACCCTGTGCTAACTTGCATATGACAAATAAAACTGAAAACTGATAAAACTGAAAACAGTAAAGGCAAAGGGAACACATCAAGTAAGGATTTCACACTCCCACTCACAACGGCACTTTCAAAGCATAAAGCCAAATATTTCAAAATTTCATTTTGAAGCATTTTAAAAATGAATGTGTTTGAGTTTCATTGCTCCAAAGTAATGTTTTCATATAAGCAAGATAACAACCAGTTTGCAACCATGTAAGTACAGTCCTCTATTGTGAACAGACGTGTTGGCAATCTGTCTGCGTTTATAAATTAGACAACAGTTATTTGCAGATCTTCATCAATCTGCCTGAGAGTGATTGCAGTCAGTCTGAGTTGGACTGCAACTGTTTTGAGTCAGGTTGCCTCCAAGGAGGCAGTTTATTATTTTCCTTTCCTAGTTGGACAGATGGCTGTTGTTTTGTTTTTACTGTAGTGTGCTGGGCCATTAATGGCTCAGGGGCTGCAGCGTATCCGCGCCAACACCTAAGGCCAACGTGGAATCACCGGTCAGACTAACATAAAGAAAGAATCTGTTAAATTACACATTTGTATTCATTAAGTCACAGACAATGAAAACAAGCAGAAATCAAGATGTAATATTTTTATAATTTTATTGATGTTAAATTAAAGTCCCAGCTTAGTTATGTTATCAGTGCAAGTCACTTCAATCTGTATAGCACCAAAGGAAACAATGGTGTTTTCAAGGTGCTTCACACTGTAAGGTAACAACTTACAGTATTAAAAAGAAAACCCCAAAAGAACAAACCCCTC